GTTCACAAGTGTCCACCGTCCCCCAATGGCTGAGGTTCACCTCCCCAGCCCCAGGAGTACATTCACCTACTCTGGCATTCACCCCCAAGTCTTGGAGGTGCACCCATAGCCCCTGGGATAAGTTAGAAGGCACCAGTTGTTTACCCGCATCTTCCTGGGGTCCATCCAACAACTCCTGGAATTCACCCTCAGCCTCCTGGGGTTCATCCCTCAAATCCTGGGATACACACACCAACTTGTATGCCCCCTAAACTGAGGACTCCTCTCCCCTCTGAAGGCCAGAACATTCCTTCCCCTCCCCCAACTAACTGAAAATCTGACCCCCTTGTACATCTGATTTCCTGTTTTTCTTATTTTCCCAAAGAATGGAATTCTGAGCTGTTGTACTGTCTCTAGAGTCCATTAAATAGTCTCCTCCATGGGGGTGGAAAGAAATGTAATAAGCAGTTATAGGGTGCTATGTTACAGGAAAAGAAAGGAGGAGCCCACTATTACTGGAGGCATAAAGACCATAAATAATTAGGCTGAGTTTAATATGGTAGAAAAATCAAGTAACAACTATGGGCAGAGCCAGGCAAAGGATTTCATGAAAAGAAGTGTCAAAATATGTAAGGTATACAGAGGGAAAATCAGAGTATCAAGATTAAAGATAGAATAGTCCAGCTAAAATGTAAATTGGTAGGAGAAATTGAAGGTGACCCCAGAATCTTGGATGGATCCAGATTTTCTTGTAAACTTTTGGATATCCAGAGTTGATTTGATCCCTGTTCCAGGCAGAATGCTCTGGCTATTACAGACCTGCTTGGCTAGTCTGAGCTCTAGTGCTCTTCAGCAGGAGGGATAATTTGTCCTCATTCACCCAAGTGGCCTGTCTCACAAGTTGATGAATTCAATACTGCTGCTGGGAAGGTCTTGGCAGACTGTTGGTGGACTTGGAGCCAGAAATGTGAATTTGAGTGAGTAAATCTTTGAGTCTTTCAGAACCTCAGTTTTTCTATCTTAAAGATGAACTAGAAAACATTAACTCTATAGGGCTGCATTTGGCTTAAGTGAAATAAAGTAGGTAAAACTGTTTGGGAACTAAAACATAATTGTTATTATCATTAAACTGCAAATATCACTTATGCTTGAAAGCTGTCAACCAGCTGTCAACCTCTTTTACCTCCTATTACAATGAAAAAGTGATTATCAAACATGTGTTCCTAATAATCACCTGAAGCTTGCTCTAAATGCAAATTCCCAGTCACCATCCCAGGTGATTTGATCAAGTGGTCTTGGTTGGTCCCAGAATTTTGTATTTAACCAAGTCCCTCAGGTAATTTAGATGCAGGTATTGACAAATTTATATTTTGGAGAATTGGGAGCTGAATTCTACAGTACAATATAGTAGAAATAAAGCCTCAATCACCATTTGAACTCATAATCTCAGTAAATGGTACAGATTAGTGTGAGATGCCTGTAGGATATCCAAGTCGGAAGGTCCCTGGGCTATTTGATGAGGACTCAGAGATAGGTCTGGGCTGGAGGTCAGATTTGGGTAGCACCAGTGTATAGGTAATAGCTGAAGAGGGGCAGAGGTACGAAAGCCACACTCTAGGTCCTAGTGTTGCCTGGCTGGCCCTGTTTAGCTGAGTTTCTACCTCAAAGAGTTTGTGTGGATGTTTCTCAGTCTCTGCTTCCTCAGTTCTTTCTACTATGAATGGCATCGCCATCTGGCCAGATGACCAGCCAGAAACCTGCCTCCATTGACTACCCTGATCCTCACTCAAATCAGCTCAGTCACCTCATATGATCAATTCCACTTCTCAACATTTCTCAAGTCCTTGTTCTTCATCCCCACTGCCACAAGTTTAGCCTCGTCTCTTGCATGGACTGGCTTCTGCCCTGGAGCTGGCCCTGCTGTGGTCTAATCCTGCCTGAGCCCTGCAGTCAGAGTTTCAGTATATGTTTCAGGCATTTTGCTTCCTTAACCAGTCTAAGCTCATCCAAGGGAAGGGACTCCAATCTTGCTGATTATTATGTCACTGACACCAAGTACAGTAGCTGGCACATAGTAGGTGCTCATAAAGGTTTCTTTCTTCTGTTCTCATGTTCCTTGTTCTTCCTTTTCTCTAGTTCTAAAGTTCAAAGGCAAGGAGAGATTGTTAGATCAGAAAATTGGTTCACAATTTGCATTGTGGGTTGTGCATAATTCTTTTGAGTATAAGGGAACTGCTATGGTCCCTGATAGCTCCTTCCTAAATGAACTCCATTGTCATTTTCTACCTCCATTACAGGCACCAGAACATCACCAGTGATGGATTAATAATATCAACTAATTAGAGCTAATAAATGAGCTGGAGAATCTAGTACTTTCTCTGGTTACATAAAGATAACCCAGTTAAGTGTCTTCAGAAATCTTTAAACATTAAGTAAAATGGTGTGAAGGGGAAGAGAAATGCTTTGATAAGGAACCATTCACAAGTCCACAGAACCTGTGAATAGGTGTGATCCAAGAGTTTATTTGCCCTCTAATAAGGCTATCCTGCTTGGAGGTGGCTGGTCCCTAACTGAAATCCTCACTTTTAGTGAGTATTTATGGAGCATCTACTATGAGCCAATTGCCATTTTGTGCTCTGGAGATATAGTAGCAAACCATACAGACAAACATACTCTGCTTTTATGCAGTTTATATTTTACTGGGGGTGGGCAGACAACATACTAAATAAACAAATATTTATTTTGTCAGATGGTCATAAATGCTACGCAGATAGAAGGAGGCAAGGGAAATAAGAACACTAGGGATGGTTTTTGTACAGGACAGTCAGAGGGGAATTCTCTGAGAAGATACTGCTATGGTCTAAATGCTTGTGACCCCTCAAATTCACATGTTTAAACTTAATCCCCAATGTGGTAGTGTTGGAAGGCTGGGTCTTTAGGAAATGATTAGCTCATGAAGGCAGAACCCTAATAAATGGGATTAGTATTCTTATAAAAGAGGTGTCAGAGAGGCCCTTACCATTCAAGGACCATATGTCAACACAAGTAGAAGTTTCCATCTGTGAAGCAGAGAACAAGTCCTGACCAGGTGCTGATTTTTCTGCTATTGCCTTGATTTTGACTTTCCAGGCTCCAGAACTACAAGTAAGTTTATAAACCACCCAATTTATGGTATTTTATTATAGCAGCCTCAAAAGACACGACACGATAGTTGTGCAAACATGTGAAGGAGAAAAGGTAGTTATCCACTTGGGTATGTAGGAGAAGACATTCCAGGTAGAGCAAACTTGTGCTGGGCTCTGAGGAACTAACTGCCTTTTCTTCATCAGAAAACTAATCTTAGCTGGTTTTACAGGCTCTGGTCTGGGAAGTGCCAAGGCAGATGGAGGCGGGGGAGGGAAAGTTGTAGCTGCAGACTTAGGGTACTCTAGGGAAATCAAATTCATGACTTTCCTCTAGGCAGAGTTTTGGTGGTGGCTACTTGCTCAACTTTCCTAAGTTCACTTTTGATGATCTCAGATTCCAAAGTAGGATTTGATCTGGTTCTCTCAGTAGTCACAGAGGTGATTCTCCTGGCTGTTGGTTGCCTGGGAGATACTTAAACTGTGTAGACTGGGAAACCAGGCAAAAAGGCAGAATAAGCATCTCCCTTCTTTTGCTGTGGCTTGCTCTTTGTTATCTTTTCCGGTTTTTCTAGATTAGGGCCCCTTTGGATCTGAATTTCTGTATAGTAGGATCAGAGAGTTTAAGTAGAGTGGTAGGAATGATTCAGAGTTGATAAACAAAAAGATCATACTATTAGAGAGAAGCAGAAAGGAACAAACATTTATTTTGTTTTACCAATGGGCTGTTCACTAAGCTGTTTTGATGTGTTATCAATTTTTCTTTATGACTCTGCAAGGTAGGAGTTATTGTCATTTCTAAGATAATAGCTGTTTTCTGTCTTATAAAAATAGACCTTGTGAATGATTTTTAAAATGTTAAAAAAAGAAACTGAGGGGCTGGGCTTGTAGCTCAGTGGTAAAGCGCTTGCCTAGCATGTGTGAGGCACTGGGTTCGATTCTCAGCACCATGTACAAATAAAATATAATAAAGGTCCATTGATGTTTAAAAAAAATAAAAAGAAACTGAAAGTCCCTCATAGTCTCACCTCTCAAGCAATTGTAAGAAGCTGGCGTATAATCCTGAATCTAAAAAATACATGCACACACAACCCCCTCACCTTTGTTTTTAAACTGGGACCATAGTATACATACTCTTCTGAGACTTGTCTTTTTCCTAGTAGCGGTGCATCTTGGCCATCTTGCCATGTAGTTAATGAAAGCAGGGTTTGGGGGGGCAGTTGGAGCTCTCTGATGACACATCCGGTTGTGTGATTTCACACAGGTCACTTTACCTCTTAGGACTCCACTTTCTCCCATTTGTGAAAGGAGGGCAGGGGACAAAAAATTCAGCGATGTAATGCCAATAAGCAGGGCACCTCAACCCCTGGCGGCCTCGTGACTATCTGGGACGTTCACAAGGTCCAGTCCTACTTGATTTGGACGGGAGTCGCCACTTGCAGTAACTCAGATGACAAAGCCTCCGCTGGCGCTGCCAGAAAACTCAAAAGACAAGAGCCTCTAGCAGCCACCCCTCAACGAGTAAGAGCGTAAAGAGGTCTGCTGGGCGGGTCCGGAGGCGAGGCTTAGGGGCGGGGCAACGGCCGAGGGGCGGGGCCTCGGCGCCTGGCGCGCAGGGCGTGCGGGCTGGTAGGCCGGCCGCTTCGGGACGTACTAGACGCCCGCTCCCGGCTCCTCCCCGTCCCTCTCAGGCCCCGCCCCTTCGTCTCCGCGGCCGCGGACCCTCAAGCCTCTGGCGCAGCAATGGCGGAGGCGGTGGAGCGCACAGACGAGCTGGTCCGGGAGTACCTGCTCTTTCGAGGCTTCACGCACACACTGCGGCAGCTGGACGCCGAAATCAAGGCGGACAAGGAGAAGGGGTTCCGGGTGAGGGGCCGGCGAGCGCCGCGCGGGCGGAGGCGGCCCGAGGGATCTCCAGAGCGGGCCCCTTCCCCCGAGCACTGCCCTCCCGGGCTGTAGCGGCGCTGTCACCGCGCTTGGGGGGCCGTAGACATTATGCGTCTGGCCCTAGCTAGGCAGTTGAGGAACAGGCCTTGAGACGGACGTGACTTTCCTGAAGTTGCTCAGTGAGTCAGGAGCATCTGCATCGGGGCCCAGGTGCCCTGATTCCTGGTCCAGGGCTCTGTTCTCCATCCCAGTCTCCCGGCGGGTGCTGGTGGACGAGGTTTTAGGAGCCAGGACTGGGTAGATGGTTGAGTTCTGGCAAGAGAAAGACGCAAGGTTTTGGCTTCTGATGGCAGTGGGAGCAAAAGCATCTGCAGCCCCAAACGCCAACTGGGTTCAGGCGTCTGAGGTGTTCGTTTAAAATGGCCTTGTCAGGGACTCATTGGCAATTTTGCTTGAGTAGTTGAGGGAGAACTCATTGCACATTTTAAATTATAAAGACTTCCTACTATGATATGATTTTTCCTTGGGAGGTTCTTGGAATTTGTGTGCGATTTGTATGTGCTGAATCAGTTTTTCTGGTGTTGGCGAATTGAGAGAGACAGTGAGCTAGCACCCAGAGCGTTGAAGGGGAATTAGAATACTTGATTTTTTGCCTTGCCAAAGTTAGTAGTTACTTAGTGGCAAAAGCAAATAATTTTACCTCTTAAGATTTCTATTTTTCTATTTTTTCTATTTTTGATATGGATATACAAAATTTTTCTAGATTGTATATTCTGGTGTTCTTTACAAGGAGTTGAATTCTTTCTTTGACACTCTGAGCAGCTACCAGGGTTGTGGTAGTTTTTTGACTTGTAGGAGTAAATCAGTGCACCGCTTGATGATCCTTGGAATTCTGGAATTGTGCACTGGGAGGAGGCCATAGACATTGTCTCATACTTTCTTACCTCTTTGCCTTTTAAATATGAGGAACTGAGACTGCAGTCAAAGTGACATTGCCAACTTGGTTCAGTAGATCCAAAACCTGGAGCCAGATCTCCAAAGCCTTTTTATACTTGAAGTTTCCATGCTTATGGGAGAGACGAGATATATATCTAGCATTAGAAAATAATTTAAAAGCTACTACATTAGTATGTTTTCTTATAAATTGCCAACTTAAACTTATTTGTACACCTAGAAGTCAGTGAGAGGAAAAACTGTATTCTGTGGAATGCAAGGTGAATTCCCTTCTGTCCTTCCCCACCTTCTTCAGCACTGCTTTTTCTCACTAGGTGGACAAGATTGTGGACCAGCTACAGCAGTTAATGCAGGTGTATGACTTAGCTGCCCTTCGGGATTACTGGAGCTACCTGGAAAGAAGGCTCTTTAGCCGCTTGGAGGATATATATAGACCCACCATCAACAAGCTGAAAACCAGCCTCTTCCGCTTTTATCTTGTCTACACAATCCAGGTGTTTGTTGATTCAGGGGTTCTGAGGTGGGAGAGCTCTTTGATCCAGAAATAGATTTTCTTCTAACTGGAGGGAGAAACATGAACATTACTGTAGGAAAGTGTGGAACAGCCACAATGCATATTATTCTTGACTGCTTTCCTACTTCTTTTTTCCTTCTCATCATCTGTAGGTCCTCTTACCTGTTGTTTCCATTCCTATTTCCCCTCTTGTTTTAGGAACATCACCCTGGATAGTGGTTTAAAGATATAAAATTTGAGTGATAAAGACTACAGCTGATTTGAAAGAATAAGTCACTTAGGTTATTTGAACATCACAAGGGATTAGTTTTCAGGGTGGCATTTGTCGTTAGAACTTCAGTTTAAACTATCTCTGAAATAAGGTTCCTGAGAAAAGGGCGATGATTGTGTTCATATTGTGGAGGTAATATCTTGCCATTCACTTGGCAGGTAGTATCCAAAAGGCTGTCTGCTGTGTAGTGGTGAAGAATCTTACCTCTGGACTTGTGTCTCTTCCCCTTCCTTGCTACCTCCTTTGTGTCTTGGCAGACAAACAGAAATGACAAGGCTCAGGAATTCTTTGCAAAGCAGGCCACAGAGCTTCAGAACCAGGCTGAGTGGAAGGATTGGTTTGTCCTGCCTTTCCTGCCATCCCCAGACACCAACCCCACCTTTGCTACCTACTTTTCTCGACAGTGGGCTGACACCTTTATTGTGTCCCTCCACAACTTCCTGAGTGTCCTGTTTCAGTGCATGCATATCCTTTTTGCTGCCTGGGGCTGTGGGCTTAGTCTGAGGCAGCCAGACTGTGTGCCCGGGATCATTGACATGTGTCATGTGAGGGGGCTGGACAAATTGTGGTTATTTTTGTCAGGAGGCCAGGAAGTCATAAATCTTAGTTCTGACACTGTGCTGCTAAAGAAATAGCTGACACGCATGTGTGGGGATAGTGTTAGCAGCAGGCAAAAGGGTTGGAAGGCAGCTATTTCTTGGTGAAACCAGTCAGATTTGAAGCACCCTCTCTGTGCATGATGTGTCCCTGTGGATTGCCTTTGTGGGGATTTCGTAGCAGAACACTTGGGTTGGGGTTTCCTTCCTGAGTTAGTGTTTGGATTATTTCTGTCAGTGGTCTCAGTGTTGCTCTATTTGTCAGAAAACAGGGTAGTTTTAAGTCAAATATATGTGAGTATTTGAGAGAGAGAATGATGATACATGCAAAACAGCCTGTCAAATATACCATTTGTTATGGAAAGCCAGAGATCCTGAGACCCAGGAATGCGTCATTGTTCAAGTCCTCCAGGCTGGAAATCTGGGGGGTGGGGGTGGGGTGGGGAGGAAGGGAGTGTGGTTTCAGCAGTGCTGTCTGGTAAGGCCCTGATAAATTTGGGTGTTGTAGAGGCCCACCCACTGGTGGCCATTCTGGCCTCTGGGAAGAACATTTTCTGGTGGAGGTTCCTGCCTTTGATGTTTCCTTTCCTCATGTGAATTAGCATGATTTCCATCCTCACAGATCTGACTTCCTGCTGCCTTTTCATCCTGAGGGCTTTCCAAAGAAAATCACAAGGTGGTTGCCATATGACTGTGTGGGCCCTTCAGGGCAACTGAAATGGTCACTCAAGATCTTTTCAAGCAGAACTCTGCAAACTAGGTCACACACATCTGAGCTACAGTTTGCTTCGCCAGGACTGAGGCCTGGTCTGCTCTGTGACTCCTGACTGAAGCTGTGTGAGCAGTTGGGAAAGACCAGTACCATAGCTAGAGCAGGGTGTTTGTGGGGTGGTGTGTGGCCATGCAATCTGCAGGAAGCTTTCTCTTTTCAGTCTAAACTTTGCCAGGGAGAGGTTTAATCTGGGGAGGGAAAACCTAGTGGCTGATCCTACTTCTAAGGTTACCTTCTGTCTGCATTCATCTTTTGCTAAAGCTTAGATGGTGAAGCCTGACAAATGCTAACTCTTTACTGTCATTGTTTGGGGGGAAATGCCAAAGTTTGAATGTCCTCTTCGAGATTGGCTAGCAGATTGTCATGTGTCTATGGGCCTAAAGGAAGTCAGGCTGACCTGGAGTAACAGGCCCAGAGAATAGGTAGAGAATATTTCATAAATGCAGCTTTTTATTTCATAAAGCTGGGATGAACCCATTGCACCTATGTTCCTCTGTTTTGTGTTCAAGTGTTTGGCTACTATGTCAGTTGGGAAGAACTTTAATTTAAGAAAAATGGTTTTTTTTTTGTTTGTTTTTTTTTAAATTTTGAGACAGGGTTTCACTAAGTTGCTAAGGCTAGCCTCTAACTTGTGACCCTCCTGTTTTAGCCTTCTAAATCATTGGGATTATAGGCATGTGCCACCATGCTCAGCCAGGAAGAACTTTTAAATGTTCTCATGCAGGCTTATTCTTTAACTTTGGGCACCAGTTCCAGTGATCCTGAACTTTGATGCAGAGTGCCAGAGGACGAACCAGATTCAAGAAGAAAATGAAGTTCTGCGTCAGAAGGTTTGTTTTAAACAGGCTGGCTCTTTGGGAAGGACTTCTTTTTGAGTGTGAAATTGGGTAGTGGCAATGGAAGGTTGATTAAATATAGAAAAGCAGAATTATTCTCAGATGAAAGTGAGTCACTATCAGTCAATGTTGGGGCTTTGGGGCTATACCAGCCTCTGGTAACCAGAGGTGAAATTCATGTTTCAAATTATGTGTGCAGCAAAAGTAATGTATAACAGGAATGGACTTTCAAGAAGAAAAACACTGTGTGCCTTCATAACATACCTTGCACCTCACCTGATTTCTTATGTCTATTTTATTTTTCCTGTCTTTTTCCACATGTAGCCATGTATACATTGTTTCAAATCCAGATTTAATTTAATTCTTCCCACTCAACTACATGTTTCTCTTGTTGGATAAAATAACAAATTTGGGGAACCCACATTTGCCTTTACTTTTTGCTGGAGGCATTTCTTTGTCCTGAAATAAAGAGCTCTGTCAGTGAAAAGGAAGGAAAAGGAAGCTTAAAAACTGTTAGGTTCAGGGTTTTAATGTCTGTAATCCCAGCAATTTGGGAGGCTGAGGCAGGAGGATTACTTTTTGGAGGGCAGTCTCAGTAATTTAGCAAGATCCTGTTTCAAAATAGGGTTGCGGTGGGGTAATAGCCCTGTGCTCAATACCTCTGAGTTAAATCCCCCACTTATACTCCCCCACATGCACACATACAAAGATTTCAGAGTTTATTGTGTTTTGTGTGTGTATACAGTTGTTTCAGTTGAAAGACCCTTTTTTTTTTTTTTTTTTTTTTTTTGGTACTGGGGATTGAATTTGGGGGTGCTTAACCACTGAGCCACATCTCTGCCCTTTTAATTTTTTATATTTGAGACAGGGTCTTGCTAAGGCTGGCCTTGAACTTGTTGTCCTCCTACCTCAACCTCCCAAATTGATAGGATTATAGGCAATGCCACCATGCCCGGCTCAGGTGAGAGGTTAAGGATGATATAATTCATTAAGAACTTTTTTCCATGTGAGTTCCAAAGCTTGATTTTGTAGATGTCAAAGAACAAAGCAGGATCAGGTGGAGTTATTTTTCATAGTAAATTCAGGAAGAAGCAAGTCAAGTGGTAAAAAGGAAGCAAGTCAAATGATAAATGAAAAAAGAAGTGGTTTTGGATGTTTAACCGGTTTTGATTTTCTTACCTCACTGGTCTAGGCTAGTAGCAGCAAGTTATTCTTTCAGTTTTCCAGTGCTCAATGACCAAAATGTGAAGGGCACCCTGAGGCTGAGGTCAAGTGGCATTTTGAGCCAGTGAGGTTGGATTTGGATTTGAGATGCCTAAAAATCTCCCTCAGAAGAGGGAAAGTCAGGTGAGGTCATTGGTTAACTCAGCTCTACCCCTACATAGCTTTTTGCCTTGCAAGCTGAAATCCACCGACTGAAGAAGGAGGAGCAGCAACCTGAAGAGGAGGCGGCCTTGGTCCAACACAAATTGCCTCCTTATGTCTCCAATATGGACCGCCTGGGGGACTCAGAGCTGTAAGTGTACACCAGGGATCATGGGGAAGGTGGCTGCCGCTTCCTGTCCTCTGTACTCTATGCTCTCTCTGACCTGAGCTTCAATCTGATCCTGCCTTGCCCTTGGTCCCCTGTGCCCATTGAGGGAGAATTGCCAAAGAGCTCCTTGGCACATCTGCCCTTGCTTCAGAATTGATAAATAAGGTTCTCATGGCCTCTAAGGTCCTTTGGAAGTTGTTCTGAACCTCCAAGCCTTTGGCTCTGCGTGGAGAGAGGGGGCACAGCTCTGCCAGGGACACAAACATCCAGATGTGCATAGCCTGGATCAGTACAACAGCCACTGTGGTAAAGTCTCAGGAAGTTTTTGTGCATTGGAAGGAGTGCAGTGAGGAGGACTGGCCTTCCATGGGAGGGACACATTTCTTAGGGGAAGCATGCTATTGGGGTTTAGAAAGGTGGGCAGATTGGGATAGAGGTATTTGGGTGACCTTAAAAAATAGCCATTTATAGCAGAAGCCTCAGATGATAATTGAAAACACAGAGACACCGACAGGTGACACAGTGCATCAGGGTGCAAACCCAGGTGATAGCCAAGTGCTGCACCAAATAAACTGCTCTAGCTTTCCAGTTAACATCACTGAGGAGAATAAAATGCCAGCCAAAGATGTAATTTAAAGGTTTTAGTAGCTGTGTTTAAAACATAAAATGAAACAAGCAAAGTTAATTTTTGTGATATATTTTATTTAGCCTAATATATCCAAATTATTTCATCGTGTAATGAATGTAAGCAGAATGTTAATGAGGTACTTTACACTTTTTTTCTTGCTGAATCTTTGGATTCCAGCATGTCTTACACTCCAGTACATCTCAATTTGGACTAACCACAGTTCAGATGCTCAGAGGCATGTGTGGACAGTGGCTGTTGGACAAGGCAGCTCTGAGTTTTACTGGGGCCCTCAAAGAAGAGCCATAGTCTTCACTAAGCTGCTGGCTCCCTCTGTAGAGGAAATGGTACCTTGGATAATGCCACTGTCAAGCCCAGGCTGGGGAGCCTGGCTAAGGCCCCTGTCATTAACCTCACCCATATCCCAGAAGCTCTTTGAGTTCTTGGATCTCCCTCATCCCCTTCCAGCCCTTTGACCCTGTGGTGTGTCTTTGACCAGAGCCATGGTATGCAGCCAGAGGACCACCTCCCTCTCCCAGTCGCCTCGAGTAGGATTCCTGTCCTCGTTGCTGCCTCAGAGTAAGAAGAGCCCCTCAAGGTTGTCGCCTGCCCAGGGACCTCTGCAGACTCAGAGCTCAGTCAAGAAAGAGTCCTTCAGCAGTCAGGTAAGTGCTGGTCTTGCCTTTCTAACTTTCCAAGAAGACTCTGACATCTGACTATCAGGTCTGCTTCTAGGTTTTCTTATCAAGTGTAGACTTGTGTGCCCTCCATTTAGGACCAAGTTCTTAGATGAGCTGTGAAATCCTAAATTCACTTCTAATTCCTTTCTATTTCTTTTCCTACCTTTGTTGTCACAGATCAGTGATAATTCTGCAGGATGAGCATAGAGATAAGACCAGTGAGGGAATTGGGAGAACAAGGAGGAAAATCCCCCCAATGCATGCTGCATTTTTGCCTCTGGCTAGCACTGCAGGGTGTGGCACTGAGACAGTGGCAGATGTGCGTGTGCTGATGAAGTGCTGTGCTGGACTTCAGGCCCAGGGCTTCTGACCACCCCTGCACTCCTGTCTCAACTCAGAAGTCTGCCACACTCCACAGGCAAAGTGGTGGACAGTCAATGACAGGAAGTGGGCTTTGCGGGGTCTCTCCCCTTTCTTCCTAATCTTCCTGGGAACCCACAAGGAGTTATGACTGTTTGAGTGGTTCAAGTGTGAGTTCAATTGAGTTTTTGGTGATATAAATTATTGTCTGGGTAAGAGTTAATTAAGAGTTTCCTGAATCTATGTATTTGTAGATAAACATCTACAAGTTTATCTTTGCTGAATCTACAAAGGATTTTCATTATTTTTTACTTTAATATTATATTGCAAGAGATGTTTTTTTCCATGCCAGCTTATGTCCAAAACAACCAAGAGTCCCACTGAATTTTTTTTTTTAGCTTAGCTTGTCAGAATAATTGCTTTCAGAAATGCCTGCCAGAGTGAAAGTCTCACAGACTCCAACTTAGACTTGCTATGGTAGGGGCACGCTATTTGAATGTATTTTTACTAGTTAACAATAAAGTAAGTTGTCGTAGTCTGTGCCTTCCTTTTCTACTACCCAGGACTGGAGTTGCAAGTGATGTGACAGTTTGGGGTGGCTCCCTGTACTCAGGGAGGCAGCGGTCTGCCCTAGGCTGCCTTTGGAATGTGGGGTTCAGTATTGTTGAGCTGCAAACACCAAGTAGGGTGTTGGATAAGGTAGTGTGGACTCAGTCAGTCATAAAGCTGATGCAGCTTTACTTTTAGCTTGGGCTCCTTGTTTAGCATCGAAGCTCAAATTGCTTAAACTCACCCCAATTTTGGGGGGATAATAATAGTATTGACTCCCTAGGGAAGGAATAATTGAGTGGCTAGAAGAGCTCTTGGTATCTGCAGTGGCTGGCAAATGATAAGCATGCAGTTAAATTTAGTAGAAGTTGTATTCTTGAAGATTCTGGCCTAGTTGGGTTCCCAAGTCAAGTCTGAGATCTCAGGTGCCACCTTGCCTTGGTAGGGACACTCTCTTTTAAATGTATTTTTACTAGTTAGTGCAGAATGAGATTGACTGTAATCTCATCATCCAAAAAAGTAGAAGCAGTTAAAAATCAGTCACAATTATTTCTACAACTCTTTTTTCTGAAATTCAAACTTTGAAAGTAAAATTTCAGTTTCTTAGAATATGGACAAGTAAGTTTTACTGTTTACTTTCCAGATCTCTTACTGAGCAACATTTTATAATTTTGGTAGATGGTATGGGCTTGCCATTGTGGAATTCAATTTTTCTAACTCAAAATGAAATCAGAGAGCTTCTTCGGAAGTAAGCCTGTGGGCTGTGCTCTTATGTGTTCAGGAACTGTGTGTCACATTATAAGGTTGAAATGGCATGGGAAATCTTTGTGAAGTTTACTGCCAAGAAATGAAGGTAAAAATGCATGTATCTCAAATATAATTGGGAAAAAGTTGAGAAATAGTAAAGTGTCTTAACAGAGCAGTTCTCTAGATCTTGAATGGAGACCTCAGATAGCTACATTCTAAAAACCCACTGGCCAAGTCACTTTTTTTTTTAAATTTGATGGCAGACTATTTAGACCCAGCATGGACATTTTAACTCTTAAAAATAACTAGCAGATTTGAGGTTTAAGAAAATGACAGAATTTTAGAGTTGGAAGGAGGCTTAAAGGTCATCTGGCCCATTTTCCTGCTGAGCATAGGAATGCATTCTGTGGGATTGATTGCCTTCTATGATGTGGAGCTAATGCTTGTAAAGTGGGAATGTGTACTTATTAGAAAGCTACTAGTAGAAACCCCTTTATAACTTTTACTCACCAGTCTTAGCTCTCTGGAGCTATGTTAAATAAGCTGCTTGCATAGGACAACCCTTTCTATCTTTTCCATGTTAAGCACTGTCTGTGCCTCCCTTTCCCCAACTGTTTTCTCCCATGGCATAATTTCTAGATTCTTCACCATTCTGCCACTTCCTCTTAGAGGGGCCATTCTAATGTATCAATTCCTCTATTAAATTGATGCCCAAATTCAATGTCCATTTTAGATGTTTTCTCACCAATGCCAAATGCAGTATGTGGTAGTATCACTTCCTGTGATTTTGATAAAACTCCTTTGAACTCAATGTGAAATGGAAACGATTTCTAAATAAGCTATATTGCTTTGTCAGTGCAAATCAGGCATGCAGTCTTTTTTTCTCACCACTACCACCCCTTCTTTGGTTTCTTACTATTAAAGAATAAGCACACATATAGAGATCAAAAAAAAAAAAAAAAAAAAAAACACCCTGAATTTTGTTGTTAAATTAGCAATACATAAAATGATTAAACTTTTCTATTTTCCAAATCATATATGCAGAGCATTGTAAATTTTACTTACTTCAGTATTTTTCCTGCTTGTGATGGGTCACTAAAACTCTTGTCACTATTACTGAGATGTCTATAGCATGATTCTTGCAAAATAGATGGCAACATACTTTCTCTGGACTTTCAGTAGAAAAAAAAAAGGAAGAGAGGACTAACTGCAAAACCGAGGTTCCCAAACTCTTTTGGGATCTCAGAATGGTAGCCAGGGGAGGGAGCATCATTAGCAGGCAGGCCTGGGTTGCTGCGCTGCCCACATCCTTCCCCCGCAGCGGTGATTCTGTGTCTTTCACACCCACTTAGTGAGCTATGGGACAACAAGTGGGAATTGCCTTATTATAGAGATAACCTTTAATTGGCTGTAATGTAAAGAAAGCAAAGCATCCACAAACTTATGTACTTCTAATTCTTATTAGTATCAAATTACCTCCTAGCTGTTGAGACATCAGTGGTAACAACAGCTGCAGTGGGGCCTGTTCCCATGGAGCTTGGCAGGATGGGGAAGGGCACACTCTTCCCAGTCCTTCAGTCCTGACTTTTGGGTGGCTTTGTTTTACTTCAGGTGAGACCAAATTTCTGGAACTTGCTCCCTGCCTTGTTTGGATAGCTTCCTGGCAAGATCTGTGAGGCTTTTGATTCTCTCTTGATTTATTCAGGTCACTGAAAATGAACAGGTATCAACCTGTGCCATCTCCAGAGGGAGAAAGTCAAATGATAAAGCAGGTTACAGTACCTTTCCTAAACTGAAGGAGTCAGGTAGATTTATGATGGGTACAGTCTAAACCTTGGGGGCATTAAGTTATATGAATACGGTAGTTAAAATTTTTATGAGGTTTGCCTTTAAAACAAAATAAAACCTCCAATTACTGGTTATGTCACAGTAAACATTTGTTTAAGTTGTGCATATTTGTAGCTAGAAACAAATTTATCTTAACCTACTTATTAAAGTGTTTTGTGGACAGCTGCATTTATCATTTTTTTTTTTTTCCTGGTATTGGGAATTGAACCAGGGGTGCATAACCACTGAACCACATCCCTACCCTTTCTCTATGAGTTGCTTAGTGCCTCTGTAAGTTGCTGAGGCTGGCTTTGAATTCATAATCCTCCTGTCTCAGATTCCTGAGCTGCTGGGATTACAGATGTGTGCCACCACACCTGACTTCAACAGCTTTTTCTTTTTTCTTTTTTAAATTTTTAGTTGTAGATGGACACAATGCCTTTATTTTATTTATTTATGTGGTACTGAGGATCAAACCCAGTGCCCCAAGCATGCAAGGCAAGGGCTTTATCACTGAGCCATACCCCCAGCCCTTTATCAGCTTTTAATATATTATTATCTTTCCTTGTTGCTCACCCTTCTTTGGTGACTTAGGTACAGTTTAAGGAGAAGCTCCCCTCTCTTTAAGCAGGTTCTGAGAGGTCATGTTCTTGGGTCTATGGTTCTTTTGTTTCTTATTGAATGCAAATCATTTTGTTAATACCTGTTTGTATTTTTGTTTTATAAAATATAAGCTGTCCAACCCCAGTTTGACAGCACTGGGCAACTTCTTTGTCATCTTAACTTTCAGGGGAACATTACCTTTGAATTTCTTCATGTCAGGTGTACATTTAATTATGCTAGAGAATTTGAAGGCTCTCTGTACCATCAATATGGACTAGCTTAATTGAGCACTCAACATCAAGCATTGAAAAAGGAAAGGGTTCTATTTATTAGGTATAAGTGGTGCCAAGGTGCTTGTTTCCCTCTGTAGCATTTTCTACTTTTGGTCCAGGGCAGGATACCCATGTAGTCCACAGTGTTCTACTGCCTGGAAATCATGTGCCAGGCAGTGAATGTGGTAAACATAGCATCTCCTGGACCATAATATGTTTGCTTGGTGTCTGCATTTTCAGTGACTATTTTTATGAGGGTTTCAGAACATAATCAGTAGAAGCAGTTACATGATGGCAGTAGCCTGCCTGCTGCCTCCAGACCGTGGCCTTGTAAGTGCTCCCAGATTGAGCAGGCCCCCTGCTCATTCCATCTCCTTAGGACCAGACACTTAATCTTGCATTGGCCCCTGTCCTCTTGGAACCCAAATACAGTTGTTATTGACACAGTTCTAACATTTGGAATGGAAATGTGCTGTGTTTGATCAGCTCGGGTTTATAATTTTTGCTCTCTTCATGAAGGACTTAAAGTTTAAAAACAGGCCAATACATGTCTTTTCTTTTTATCTCAGTAGGAACTATCATGAAAATATTTAATAGGAAGTTCACCATGGGAGAAGACAGGAGGAAGAAGCCACAGAAGTGTTTCTGCATTCTTTGGATGATCTGATAGCACTGTGCCATTTTCTTAGATAGTGGACCACTTCTTTCCTTGTTCTTTTGACATCAGAGTCCTTATCACTGATTAGTTTGTCTGTGTCAGGGCTTCTGCTCAGTTTGTGCTTTAGCTTTTCTAGAACTTTCTGGTAGGTTAGCATTACTCTTTATGGTTTGAACTTGCCACACATTCCTTTAAATATTTTCTTTCTTTATTCTTGGGGTATAATATGGCATAAAATTTATACTTCAGAATCTGTCATCCTCACTCATGCACTAATTCCCTTTAAAATTTCTTCCTTTTTCTGGATGTTCTAAGTTCCTAAAAGTTGAAGAATGTGTTTATGCTACAGTTCCCTTTTCTTTATACATCCTAATAGGGTACTTTTTCTTAAGATTTTTTTTGTCATATGAGCATAGCCATCCAACTTTTCATGTAAATAAAAACAAAGCCAGTGTGGTAGATCTCTGTATCTCTTCCTTTACTTACTATTGGATGAAATTGTTGATAAAATAATTCACCAGATATTGTACTTATATAAGTTGAGCATCTCTAATCCAAAAATCTGAAATGCTCCAAAGTCTAAAACTTTTTGAGCACCTACAGGATGCCAAGTGGCAAATTCTACACTGTGAAACTTTTGTTTCATGTGCAAAATTATTAAAAATATACAAAATTATCTTCAGCCTATGGTATAAGGTATATATAAAGTATAAACAAATTTCATGTTTAGACTTATGTCCTATCCCTGTGATATCTTGCTATGTATGTGCAAATATTCCAAAATCTGAAACATTGCTGGTCCCAAGCATTTTGAATAAGGGATACTCAGCCTGTAATAGAATAAGTGTGGGAGATGCCAGGATTGTCAGTGTAGTACATATTGCTACTATAACTTCACTTGTCCATCACTGTCTCTACTCATGTGTAGTCAGATAGTAATGAGGGCCCAGTCCGCCAGGCAGGGTACTGGGTGCTATGGCTACAAACGTGTAAGGCAAGGTCACTGGGAGTAGTTCACAGTAGGGCTAGTGCAGCCTCACAGTAGGGCTGAGCCTCTTGGTATGCTGGTATTATCTAGTGAGTACATAGCTCTACCAACATCTTTTCCTCTCTCCAGCTTTTTATCCATGCAGAAGTTCTCAGTAAGTGTTATGGATTTGTTTAAAGGTAATTACATTGCATGTTACTTTACCTTTTCTTTCTTCTTTCTTACTTTTGTAGCTTTTTATTATTATATACTTTCAAGGTAACAGGACAGTTGCAAGAATAAAGACACTCTCAACCCCCACCACCACCCCCCATCTATTTTACCATTTCACATTTCCATCAGGAGTGTATGAGAATTCCTAGTTCCCCACACACAGCCTCTCCAACAGAATCTCTTGTGCAGCTCTGGAACTTTTGCTAATATGATGGGTAAGAAATGGTATTTCAGTGTAGTTTATTTATAGTTATCTTCTGAGTGAAATAGAGCATCTTTTCATGTGTTTAAAGTCCATTGTGTATTTCTTATAAATTTCGTTCATGTCTTTTCCCATTTCTCTATATAAATCTTGGTATTTTCCTCAAGTTTGAAAATTTTCATTTGTGAAGGAGGATATTAGGCTTTTATTTATGACATTTGTTGCAAATATTGTCTCTCAATATGTCCTTTATCTTTTGACTTTGCTTGAGATATTTTTGGTACACCAAAAGTTTATTTTTTTTAATTCAGTGAAATTTATCAGTTTCCTATTTTTACTGCACTTGGATTTTAAGTCATAATTAGTTTTTCCCTATAACCAGAGGAATACACCCATGGTTTCCTTTAGTAATGGTACTGTTGCATTTTTATAAATTATATATCTGATTTGTTTGGAGTTTATTCTTGTGTATAATATGAATAATGGGTCTAATTTCTCCTTTTTTAAAAAAATGACTTGCTAATTGTTCCAATACCATTGATTCAAAATTTTCTTTGCTCCAGTAATTTGAAAATCCACTGTACAGTAAAATACCATGTATAATTGGATGTGTCTGGACTTCCTGCTCTGTTGATTTTTCTATCCATTCATGTTCCACTACCATGCTGTTTTAATTCTAGAGGCTTTGCTGTATGTTAAAGAACCTGAAAGGTTTAGCTTCCTCTTAGTGCTCTTTGTTTTTGATGTTTTTCTAGCTGTTCTTTGAAATTTATGAATTAGAGGGATCTGGCAATTTGATGATTTGAGATATCCTGTGCAAGAAGGGATGGCTTTCTTTTATTCCAAACTACTTTCATGTTTTTTAGGGATGTTTTACAATTTTCTTTATGTAGCTTTCATATACTTTTGTCAAGTTTATCCTTAGATATTTTATATTTGTTGTTGCTATATTAACTAGGATTCTGTTACATTATATTCTCCTCCTGGTTATCATTTGTGTATATGAAGGCTACTGGTTCTGCATTTTGTTTTTACATTTTGCTCTCTTGTTCTTTTAAGTTAGTGTTAGCATTTATTTTCAATAATTTTTTCAGGTATACTGGCCTGCCATCTTCAAGAAAGAGAAAGTTTTTCTACTTTTCCAATTCTTCAGTCTTTTTGTTGCTTCTCTTACACAATTGTGTTAATACTACCAGTAAAGAGTTTAACAGAAGTGGAGATGGGTCATCCTGCCTTGTTCCCTAGCAGGACTCCTTCACATGTTTCCCGTTAAGTATGGTGCTGACTTAAGGATGAAGGAAACAAGGGGTAACACACATATACACACACATACACATCCTAGACTATTCAGTAATGTTTTATATAGAAGTTTTGCATTAGTACTCATATTGATATCTATGATTTCTTATCTGCTATCTTTATCAGGTACAGAAAAATATTATACTTCATAAAAAAGAATTTGAATTTGAGGTTTTTCTTTCTCTGTACACTGAAATGATTTTTATAGTATTGGGACTATATGGTTCCTGTGGGTTTGATAGAATTCACCTGAGAAACCAGTTGGGCCTGGTACTTTTTTGGTATAATAGTTTTTGATAAGTTTTACAACTTTTTCATTTTTTTTCCTTATGGAAGATGATCTGTTGAAGTTTTTCATGACTACTGGTAAACTGAGTTTTCCTTAGAAATTGTTCATTTCATGGGGAGGGGGGAAATAGATTGCAAACCAGAATGTGAATCCATATGATAAAGCAGTGGCTCTGTCAGCTGGACCTTCATTGGGGAACAAGCCAGCATCTCTTTAAGAATCAACACTCTCCATCTGGACACCCCAGGGGACCCCAGTCCCCATGATCCCTGGTTTGTTTCACTTGTATGTGCCTGTTCCCATCATCTCTGTGAGTTGGAAATGCATTGAGGTGACCTATGTCTGATATTCTCCCATAAAATCAGCTGCCAGTAAACTTTCTAACTTGTATTTTAACTGTTAAAGAAGAGATTAAAATTTTACTAGGACATTTCTAAATTATAGACTGTGTTTTCTTAATTTTAGAAATCATTCTTTTTGTTTAAAATTGTAAGAGAAAATGTAAAATCCTTCTGAGGTATTGATAAAGTCCTTTGTGTAAATATCTTCTTCTCTCCCTGCTGCCATTAAGCCAAAGCAAAAGTGTGAAAATAAAAAGTCCTTGAGAGAATGTGTATTGATAACAAAGTGCTTTATTTACAGACTGCAAGTCTAGTTCATTAAGCTACCAAATGTTGAAAAGCATGACACCTTTTTTTCTTTGTCATGGAACTCAGAGATTATAAAATGGGAAACAAAATCTTGTTTAATATTTGATGTTGGCATGAAATTTTTGCATGCTTTTCTTTTTCATGTATCTGTGTATTAAAAAACCTGTTATTTACCATAGGATTAGTATTTGATGTTTTGAAGTAAACAAAGAATTTGTATTGCTAGATAAACTATTAGCTTATAAACTTAAAACAGTTTCTTTACCTCAATTAACTTAAAATAATGGACCAATAAACCTATAAAGATGCTCAGCAAACAAAAAAAGATTGTTTATTTCATCGAGGTTTGCATAAAAGTCTGCAAAAAAGTCAGCACACCACAGGCTTCCCAGATGATTCCGAGATCCATTAGAGTTGAGGATGGCTGCCTTTTTGTACAGTGAGACTAAGTTTTAGCAAGTTACCTAGTTTAGTTCATGAGGCTTAGTTTCCCACTGAACCTCCACTCTGTGATTCCTTTTGTTCTCATAATACCCTTCACAGAATCTAGTTAGCTCATTTTATGGGTTCTTTTTCCTTTTCTCAAAAATCCAGCTTAAAGATCTCTTAGTCAGGTTGACAGGTCTGTCAAATGTGCTTTATAATTTTCCCTGACTTTTGCAATGTCCTCACTTGCCAACCAACTTTTCTGGAAACTGCCATCAACTCAGGAAACAGATCTTCCTTCTTAGTACTATATGCAGCTAGCTTTGGAGTTCCCATAACCATCTTTTGGATTCTGTCAACATGATAGAGCTTTTGGAGACATGTTTTAGAATTCCTCAGTCAACACTCTGCCCTCAGCATCAGTAAATATGGGGAGGCATTACTGGACTTGGGTAATGGGGCTCGGCACCTGTGGGTCCCACCCTTAACAAGGAGTGAAGAGGGAAAGGAGGAGTCCCAGGCTGCAGGCCCCCCTGGCCTAGCCAGTGCCACTCTAACTACCTGTCCCAGCTTGCCAGGGAGGGCCTTTCCCCAGAGCTGGTGGGCAGAGAGGCTGTCCCCTATTCTTGCTTCCCTCCTGGTTGTCACTACCTGGGCTGCCAAAAAGAACTTTCAAAGCTAGCTTCTCATCCTCTAGGCCTCCAAGGGTAAGGACCTGGTGCCAGGGGCCAAGGATGGGAAGAGCCTCCTGGGCGGGCCAGCCTCGGGAGAGTCCAGCTGGGTACAGCAGCGGCAGCGGCGCCTGCAGGACCATGGCAAGGAGAGGAAGGAGCTTTTCTCTACCACCTCCTCCCAGGTATGGGGCATCCTGATGCCCACATGTGGCTGTGGAAGGGGTTCCTTACCTCTCTTCTGAGTTCTGCTGTGCGAGGCATGGTCCTGCCCAGCTGTTCTAATTGCTTGCACTTTGGTTGTCTGGGTTTGTATTTTGCCTGGCTTTCCCCTTATAGTATTTCAGAGGACCAGAAAATGCAAGCTCTGGAAGTGCTTCTTAAGATGAGTTCTGCATGTGGTTGGCTGGGCACCCTGGCCTACTAGTCCTTCCCTTAGATTAACTGTGCAGGTCTGCATATCACCATCCCTGAGGTTTGGTCCCCTTCATTTAACCCTGAGTTGCCCTGACTTGCTTGCTGGCAGGATCTATTTCCCCTGCTCTACCCGAGGCCCAGCTGCCAGGTTGTTGTGCTGAGAGTCATGTGGTGAGATGCTGTGACTCTGACCCTTTCCATGCCGAGCCCCCTAGGCTTGGGGGCTCCCACCTGTGGGGATGTGGGTCAGGATCTACTCTTCCTGGCTGCTTCTGTTTCTACCAAATACTCCAGACTAAAAGCAAAAGTCAAAGGGATTTGCTGGTTTACCTCCATGAGCATGCATCTCCTATTTGGACTTTCTTGACCATTTTAGAGGCATTTTTTTTTTTTTTTTTTGCCAGTGAGCAGCACAGTAGAGGTTTTAGTTTGGTAGCAATAGACCTTGAAGGCTCAGATCTCAAATTGTTCTGTTCTTGAGGATGAAGGCCACAGGCACAGCTCCATAAGGTCTGAGATCTTTTTGACATTCTTTGGCTATTGAATTCTTCCTGCCACCCCGTGGGGCACATGGAGGATATTAGGACCCCCAGGGAGTGGCCAGTGCCCTTACGCCTGGGGTGTGTCTAGTGAACACATAGTAATCATAGTGGCTGACACTTGGCACCATGAGGCGGCAGATACCAGGCTGCTACAGAGCCCCACTGTCTTTGGATCTCTCTATCTTCATGCCTTACAGTTGCCTCATTTTCTCAGTCGCTCAGTACCCACTTCCCAAAAGAAGAGGAGTGGGGTGTACTGTGAGGGCCAGTCCAGTGGGCCTGGAACTACTTCTACCCTTTGCCAGCCTATGACCTTGGTCAGTTTCCAGAGCTGTCAGTGGAGTGAACAACATGGTTTTAGGGAGGTTAAATGATAGAAATCTGAAAACCACACATTATAGTGCCTAGCACACAGTGGGCTCTCATGAAACAATGTTCATTATCCTTGGCCTAGCCTGTGTCACGTCAGGCCTGTGTCCTGAGTCCTGTCAGCTGTGACAGGGAGAGAAGGGCTCAGGGCCCCTCTCCCTCAGCAGAGGGTATGAGGTGAGTAAAGTCCCGAGGAAGGGGCTGTCTAGGGGATGGGAGCCCCATTTTCCTGGGGCAAGCTGAACTCTACCCTCAAAGCTCAGAACTTTCCTCGGGACTGTGTGACCACTGTGTCCCTGTTGTGCTCCTGAGTATGGGAGACCCCTTCCCATTTGATGAATCCCCACTTGCTAACCACAGTGTGCAGAGAAGAAACTGGAAGCCAGTGGCCCTGAGGCTGAGCCCTGCCCAGATCTCCACATGGAACCAGTGGAGCCACTGACACGGGTGTCTACAGCAGGCCCCGAGGGAGGAGGCCGCCCAGAGCAGCCCTTCATCGTGCTGGGGCAGGAGGAGTATGGGGAGCACCACTCTTCCATCATGCACTGTAGGTAAGGGGGGCCGGGCCCACCAGGAAGCGCTGTGAAGCCTGGATTTTCAGGCAGTGCATGTGAAGGTGTGGCGACAGGAGGGTCGGGTGGATGGTGGGATGGCAGGTGGCCCCTGAAGGACCGTGTTCTGCAGGCTCAGAGAAGGGCTGGACCACTGCCTTCTGGGAATCTTCTTAGAGCTGCCATTGTAATAGTCAGTCTATCCACCCTTCCTAATAATGTTTCTCTGAGTTTTAGGAACAAATTACTCTTCATTTTAGCCCCCAAGTCTCTTCAGTTATAATTTGCTTTATATTGGCGTTTTTAGGAAAATATTTACCATTTATACATTTTTATTTAAATATGGTTAAAAAAAACATGACTTTTCAAGAAAAGAAATACTCTCAAGGAATGTAAGTTTTAGAGTGAAGAGGGGCTTCTTGTTTTGACAACCCTGATGTATTCTGGGGCCCTTGAAGAGAATGAGGCTAGGATGCTAACATCGCCCTTTCTCTCTTGCTCAGAGTGGATTGCTCGGGGAGGAGGGTTGCCAGCTTAGATGTAGACGGGGTCATCAAAGTGTGGTCCTTCAACCCCATCATGCAGACCAAAGCATCTTCCATTTCCAAGTCACCGCTGCTCTCTCTAGAATGGGCCACCAAACGGGACAGGCTGGTGAGTGACACTTGGCTAACAGCATCTGCTCTGCAGTCCAAGTTGAAGGATTACCCAGGGCTCTTGAGAAGACTGAGTTGAGGTAGCCAAGCCAGATCCTTCCCTTCTCTCCATCCCTGGGCAAGCAGAGACCTCACATCCACAACTGGCCTGACAGGCTTCTGTTTGCTATAGCAGAGAAATTACTGGGTTAAGAATTGAAATGAGGGGACCTGGAGGTGGTAGAAGGCTTCCTCCTGTGTATACCAGTCTGTCCCAAGAGATGACCCAGCTTTCTGTCCTCTTCCACCTGTCCTTGTTTTTAACCCCACTCTCAGTGTGCTCCCTCCTGCTGCTGAGAACCCTCCTGACTAGGCCCTCAGGGCAGCAGTTTATGCTGGTGAGGAGATGGTGTTCTGTATTGTGTCATCCACAGAAGGGCCCCAGGAATAGTAGCTTTTTCTTTCTGTACATTAATATATATGAGATGGGGTTTGTAGTTAAGGGGCAAATTGATTTATTGTTTTTCCTTTCATTCCATTTCTCAGGGATCATACACTGCAGGGGTCAGAGGCCCATGCTGAGTTTGTGTAATTTTTGACATCTGAAGGAATTATTCTCATGGGCCTAGGGTCTCAGAGCTCCTAGGAACAAATTACTCTTTATTTTAGCCCCCAAGTCTCTTTAATTATAATTTGCTTTCTATTGGTGTTTTTAGGAAAATATTTACCATTTAAAATACCATTTAAATGTTTACCATTAAAATGTTTGCCAAGTGAATGTTGAGGTCACAGTCTAGCTAGTATTCCTTGGGATAGCCTCAGACTTTGGCTGTTTCTAGGGCTTTCGAGATTTTCACCAAATAAGTCACAAGTTCCTGGAGGCAAGGATAGCCTGTTACGTTTTTCTAGAGGCTGCTACAGATCCAGAATCAGAGCTCCCCCCTGAAAAGGCAAATGGAAAGTCACCCAGGCCCCATGACTGACTAGGACCAGTATAGAGAGAGGTGGCACGTAGTCTGGGAGTGAGAAGAAGGGATTGGAACAGCTGGGATTACAACCAGAGTAAAAGAAGATCAGGGGGTCATATGTAACCAGACAGAACTTTTCCAGGTGAATCTTAGGAGACACATCTTTCCCATTCCACAGATGCTGCATTATTCTGTTTTTTTTGTGGTTTTTTTTTTTTTTTTTTTTTTTGGTGCTATAGCAACCCCCCTTCCCCCAAGGCTGGATCCTTTGTAAAGGTGCCTGCATTTCCTCTAGTCAGGGTTAGCTGCCTCACAACATGGCAGATGGCATCATGGTAGGAGTGTGTGCTAGAGGAAGAAAATACATGGCAAGGCAGAAAGCCAGTGCTGGTTCAGGGATCACAATTTCTCTTTTATAATGACTCTCCAGAGGGACATCTAGCTCATTTTGTGAGTTAATCCCTTCTGAGAGCAGTGCCCTAATGACCTCATCACCTTACCCTAGGCCCCACCTCTTAAGAGTGCCTCCACCCTCAACTGCCACAACTGGACCAAGCTCCCAACATGTGAGCCTTGAAGGACACATTCAGGCCAGATTCAAACCATAGCAGATAAATTTTGTGGTTTTGCTTCTGTCTGAGGTTGGCTTTGTCATCTTAATTTAATTTTTAATTTTGAAGCGTGGTCCAGTATAGGCAGGTTTCCTCTGACTGCCTGGATAAGAGGACAAGGGGCTCACCCTGCAGCCTGCCCAGTCCAGCACCTCACAGGAATGGGCCCCCTCTGGTGGTCTTCCCTGACTCACATACTGTCCTTCAACGCCCACCCCTTCTCATTCCAGCTCTTGTTGGGCAGTGGTGTGGGAACAGTGCGTCTTTATGACACGGAAGCCAAGAAGAATCTCTGTGAAATCAACATTAATGATGATATGCCCAGGTGAGCCAGGCCCCTTCCTCCTCACTTGTCAAGGTCTCAGCTCGCTGCAGGTTCTCTGTAGGGCCAGGTCTTTCCTGAGCCCAGTGTCCCATCTCCTGGAACAGGAGCCAGAGCTGAGGCTTGTCCTCCCCTTGGGCAGGCGATTGTCTGACCCTAGCCCACATGTATTACAGAATCCTGTCTCTCGCGTGCAGCCCCAATGGGGCCTCTTTCGTCTGTTCGGCTGCAGCTCCGAGTCTCACTTCCCAGGTGGACTCCTTGGCACCGGACATTGGCAGCAAGGGCATGAACCAGGTTCCTGGCAAGCTGCTACTGTGGGACACGAAGAGCATGAAGCAGCAGGTACGGACCTGCTGTGGGGCCGGTCCCCCATGGGTGCGCACACCACGTGGAGGCACCCTGCCTGTTGCTCCCCTGTCGTGCTGGTGAGGCTCTTCCCCTCTCTTTGCTTTGGTCTCCTCATATTTTTGATTTGTGAAAAAATTTCTAAGCTTTAAGTTTTGAAAATTAAGTTACTCTGTTTGGGCGGATTGTTAGTGACTAAAGTCATCAGAATTGTGCCACAGACACAGAAGTCACCCAGAACCTACTAGGAGGCCTTGTGACCTTAGGAGAGAACTTCTATTTCATCTGACTTCCTGGTAGAACTGTGTGAGAATTACAACAGCAGCTGGCAGCAGTGAGGACAGGTGCATGCCCCTAAGAAGTGACAGCTGACAGCCAGCTCCTGGGCACAGGCCTGCCTTCCTGGAGCCAGAGACCTGTCCAGGTCTCTGGCTCTCTGTTAATAGACCTGTGGTGGATAGGTCTCTGGCTGTCTGTTAATAGATACCTGCACTGTCACTGGGGCCCTACAGAGAGACGATGTTGAACTCACTTGCTTAGAAAGCGTGGTGTTTTTTATTAAAATTAGTGGTTTCAGTACTTAGAAGTAATGTGTTCTCTCTCTCTTTTTATTTTTTTGTAGTGCTAGGGACTGAACTCAGGGATCACGCGTGCTAGGTGAGGTTTGTAACACACAACTAGACTCCCAGTCCTTTTATTTTTTATTTTGAGACAGAGTCTTCCTAAGTTGTTGAGGCTAGCCTTGAACTTACCATCCTCCTGTTAGCACGATTTTTAATCTTATATTCACTTGTGATTTTCAGATTTTTAAATTAAATATTGACTACATATAAAAGAATATTGAATCATAGGTAGATGATCTAATGAGAAGAAATGCAGTAAAATGAGTGCCTAATTTAAAAGTAGAACATTAGTATTACTCTTTGCCTTTTTCCAGTCTCCACCTCCTCCTCTTCCAGAGAAAACCTGTCTTGAATTTTGGTTTGCTATTTCCTTATATTTAAAAAATTAGTCTATTACACAAATATACATTCATAAACAATATAGTTTTGTGTTGCATGTTTTCTAACTTTTATGAATGGAGTCATAATCATTTTTTCTCAAACTTTATATTGTAAGTTGAAAACTGATTCTCCTAACTCTGTGGCTTAGTCTTATCTTCTCACTTCCTTTGCCTAAACCGAAGCTTGTTGTCAGTGGAATGGGCTTTCGTTTGTGGGCTCTCTTCTCTCTTGGACTGCCTTTAATATCTTACCTGGTCTCTGGGTGTGGATTTTTAAATTTGAAGTTTTTTTTTTCTTCTTCTTCTTCTTTCCTTAAGCTCCTGCTTAGGATTTTTTAGGTTTTCTGAATCCAAGGATTTATGTTTTGTTAACTCTGGAAAATTCTTAGTCATTGTTTTTTCAGTCTTAGAGGTAGATCTCTGCTTATCTCTTCCCTTCTGGAACTCCAGTCAGGTATGCATTAACACTTCTTTTTGGCTTTACTTTGCTGCATTCATGATGAGAGTTTTTCAGCTTTGTCAGTTTGCTAATTCTCTAGTCTGTGGTGCCTAATCTTTTAATTAACCAATCTACTAGGATGTTAATTTCAGTTTCTCTATTTCTCATTTTTAGAAACATAACTTCATTTTTAAAACCTGCTTTGTCAGGCTTAGAGTCTCCTATTTTTGCCCTTTATTTTTTTTCCTTCTTTTATTTTGTTAAAAATCCTCAGTGTATTCATTGTACCTCTGGTAATTCCCATATCTGAAGTCTTTGTGGATCTCATTCTTCTCTGCTATTTCTATGGGTGTTTGCCCCTTTTGCCTTATTTTCCTGTGTCTTGTGATTTTTTTCCGTTGTGGGCTTATGTTTCTGGGACCTTTATCCTTGAGAATATTTTGAGACTTGGGGGGAGGTGCATTCACTTCCTGGGGGCACTACCAACTCCTGACAATTTAAAAATAAATTCTCTGCTAGGGTTTTCTTGGACTATTTAGGGATTTATGGATTTGGATTATAAATCCCTATCAGGGCAAGTTTGTGGTTATGATTTGCAGAGAGGTAAGTTTCCTTACTCTGTTTTGCAAACTAAGTTTTTTTCTGGTTTATTCTTGCTCTGAGAATATAGCTCTTTGGAGTCCCAGCTGTGCACAGAGATTTCTTCCTACCTGACCTTGAACAGGTCTTGACATTGGGGGCTTCTGAGTGCTTCTTGGCAATCGGAAAGAGAACTAGGGTCATGTATATTTGATTAATGCCCCATAGTGAAGGTCAGTTTCAGACTTCCCTCATCCTTTGGAGTCTGGCTTTCCCCTCATTACTGGCATCAGAGGATTTCTTTATTTGCCAGCTCAGCACTGTGCATGTGTGTATAAATAACACCATAAAGCATTCTGTCTTGCATTTTTAGTCTCAGGAGGGTAATTTAGGGCTCCTGGGTTCCATGTTGTTTGGAATGATAATCTTCATTAATCACTAGTTCTATATAAAATCTGAGTTCTGTAAGGTAGTTTTGTTAGCTCCTGTATTTCTAAGTGTTGCCATGGGGAGATGTTTCAGGGAATGGAGAAGCTGCATGACCTTTGCATGGTGGGTCCTCTGTTGCTTAGAGCTGCCAGTGATGAAAGTCAATCGATGAGGTGTTCTTCCCTGCAGGCATTGTGATCTTGCAATTAGACCTAGCTAGAATGTACTTAAATGATGTGTATATTACTAAGATATAGATGACTCATTTTATAAGTGAGCCAGCCTGTATGGAAAACAGATCTTTATGGGCTCAGTGGATTTTGCCTCTCAATACAGTACAGCATAGGAGGTCACAGCCCAGCACTAGAGAAAATGCTTAGTAATTTTTCCAGAAAAAGGTATTTGAAGGGAGGAGCTGGCAGATTTATCCATTGGGTTCCTATGCTTGTATCTGAGTTGGAATAATCTACTAATTGTGATTTTATTTGGCTTTAACAGCTTCAGTTCTCTCTGGACCCAGAACCCATTGCTGTCAACTGTACAGCCTTCAATCACAATGGGAACCTACTGGTCACAGGAGCAGCTGACGGTGTCATCCGGCTGTTTGGTATGCAAGTGTGCTCATGGCAATCCTGGTCCCCACTTTGTGAGATCTAGCTGCAGTAGAGGCTATTGCAAAACCCTGATTTCAAATCAAGAAAGCTTAACCTTGGTCAGAGTTTTTAAAACACTCAGCACAGTCCACTTGGTTAATGTCAGTAGGCATGGGGGGCGCAGCTCAATGGTAGTTTGGTTTTGAGCTGTTTGATCTGACTTATTGTTGCCTCTTTAGGATACAGGACACAAGAGTAACACTTTCCTGTTCAGCTGTAGGTGGCTCATTCCCCTCTGTTCCCAGGGAGACCTCCCCAGGGTCTGGGATGGGACAAGGCAATCTTATCTTTGGTGGATCTCTGGGCGCCCTGGGGGACATTATAGAGGCCTCAATAGGAAGGATGCCTATGTCCAGCTCCTCCTCTCCCCATGCTGCTCCCGCCAGGAGTCCTGAACCTCACTTTTAACCTAGTGAAAGAAGCTACTTCTGCAGCTCAGAGGTATCCCGGCTTCATGTGGAGGGGTTACCCTGTGGGTTTTGTAGCCCCATGGCCCCCAGAACAGCTGTGCCCCCTGAGTAAAGGCAAGAGGATCCCCTGCTGTGGGAGGGTGCCTTCCAAGGTGCGGAGTCTTAATGGCATCTGATGGCCTCAGACATGCAGCAGCACGAGTGTGCCATGAGCTGGCGGGCCCACTGCGGGGAGGTCTGCTCCGTGGAGTTCAGCTGTGATGAGAATGCTGTGTACAGCATCGGCGAGGATGGCAAGGTAGGTGCCCTCAGGATCGGCGAGTGCTGGGACACCATGACAGGCTGGCAGCGGATCCAGAACTCTTTCTGCTATTGCCATGACCTCTTTCTGCCTCAGTTTTGTCATCTGTAAAATAGGGATAAATAGTAATCTATCTCCCGGGCTCTTTGTGGGGTTTAATGAGTGCGGTGGAAAAGGGAGTACCACAGCCGTCCTCCTCATGGCAAAGTGACTCATCTCACCCTGACAGATCTATATTTGGAGCTAAGATGTGTTTTGGTGAGCTTGGTAATTGGTGGCCTTATGACCAGCCGTGGATGCATGGAGCTTGCTGAGGGCCTAGTGACAGCTTCACAGAGGCAAGCAGGCCTGAGCAGAGTCCAAAGAAGTTAAAAAGAAGCCACCCCTCCCCCCAAAAAACTATAAGGAAGTGCCCCATGTAGATTCCCCTTGTGGAAGGGCATGATTGGAAGTGGGAACAGTAAAAATGGTAGAAAGGGAGCCAGGGTGGGCAGAGGTGGGAGAGAGACTTGGCTGTCCTCTGCCTTCCTGTGCCTTTGGGATTTCATGCTAATGACCTGTGCTGTCATTGAAAACAGTAACTATAAGGTCAGTTCTTTTTATTTTTGAGACAGGGTCTTGCTGTGTTGCCCAGGCTGACCTCAAACTTCTGGGCTCAAGTGATCTTCCCACTTCAACCTCTCAAGTAAATAGGTGTAGAGATGTGCACTACTGTGCCCCAGCTTCAGTTCTTCATTGGAAAACTCTAGGAAGGGATTTTTAAGATAAAGCTTAACTTCCTATGTATCTGGGTAGGATTCCCAATAAAGAAGTGGTCACAGTCAAGTAGCCTGTTCATAAAGTGGGTTGGGGAATTATATGCACCACAATAAACAAAGCTAGCTTTGTAACTACACCATGCAGTGTCCAATTGTTGCACTGCTGAGAAACTGAAAATAGATTTGGAATTTGTCCTCTGTGCTTTTAATCCTAAGTCAGAAAAATCTAGTCAGGTTCTAATTCTAATAATAATAATGACAGTAGTCATTGACCTGCTTGAGAGACCAGAAATCCATGCAAAGCCACTTGCTGTCCCTTTTCCTCTCCTGGGCTCAGGCCAAAGCAAAGAGTTAGACTTTGAAATGAAGTTGCTGTTTTTCTAGATTTTCATCCTTTAAAATAATGTGGGTTGGTAAGAGGTGGGATTTGGGGAGGCCTGTGGACCTCCACCCCTGTTCTGCCTCTGTAACTTGAAAGGGCTTGCTAAAGCTGTCAGAACTGTTGGTGGAAGGAGGCAGTTTGCCTCAACAGCCTTTGCTCTGGGCAGGCCCTGGGCTTCCATCCAGGATAGGGCCTGGCTGGCACCCCACTGAAGAGCACTCTGGTTGTGCATTTTATCTGCAGTTCATCCAATGGAACATCCACAAGAGTGGCTTGAAAGTATCTGAGTACAGCCTCCCCTCGGATGCCACCGGTCCCTTTGTACTGTCTGGTTACAGCGGCTACAAGCAGGTTCAAGTGCCCAGAGGCCGACTCTTCGCTTTTGACTCAGAGGGCAATTATATGTTGACATGCTCTGCCACAGGGGGAGTCATCTACAAGGTAACTGGGTGGTGGAGTCCTGGTGGGCAAGGGAGCTGCTTCTTGGCGGTCTGGACCTGGCCAAGCTGAGCATGGCCCTTTGTCCCACCCTGTATGGCAGTGAAGAAGTCCTGGACACAAGGCAGCACCTGAAGTCTTCTAGCTGCAGGCTAGACTGGTGCTGGGCCTGGACCTTAGTGCTGGTAAAGAAGGTGGGATTGGGACAGAATATAAGGCACTTGTTGTCCTGCCCTTGACAAGCATCTGACCTTCTCCTTACCCCATTCCTTGGGAATAATAACCTATTATAGAAAACACTGAGGAGTAGCAAGAAGAGTTGGGGAGTGTGGGAGAGGGAAGCATGCCTCCCCACAGAAAACAAGCTGAGTGGTTTACTGTAGTTACTCTAAATAGGCAGGCCATGGGCGGGCCATGAGTGAAGTACTTCACAGTCCATATTTGAGACAAATTTGAGGGGGTATACACACACACACATACACACCATATATATAACAACAATGTAAGTTGTTGACAATGCAAATTTTTCGTGTCGTATGTGTTCTTCAGCTTACACATTTGTTTTAATTCTCAAGTCAGAGCTGTTCTGTTTCATGTGCTTTCTTTGTATAAGTGTATGAAATTACAAGTACCTTCCTTTTTACTAGTATTATTCATTAGACCTACTGATGAGGATTTGTGTTTGGCCTCATCAGGTACCTAGTGAATTCAATTCTTAGCCTCAGTGTTAATTCTTTAACCACCTGACACTGACATTTGGTCTGTAGGCCTAAGAAGTTATATGAGGTAAAATATTCTCAGTGTTCTTGTTGCCACAGATAGGACAGCAGCTGTGTGGCAGGCCATGGACTCGGGACTATGGAGTGTACCAGGGAGATATAAAATATGATCTCAGGCTGGGGTTGTGGCTCAGTGGTAGAGCACTTGCCTGGCATGTGTGAGGCCCTGGGTTCAATCCTCAGCACCACATATAAATAAATAAATAAATAAATAAATAAATAAATAAATAAATAAATAAATAAATAAATAAATAAAAGATCCCTTTACAAATAAAATATGATCTCTGTTCTCTTGGGTCACACTCAAAAAGAAACACCATGGGTGAAGGAAGATGATGTGGTGTTGAACAGTTCCAAGAGGAAGAAGCTGGGTGGGGACTGAGTCCTCAGGGAAGACTCGGGAGGTGGCAGGCTGTGAGTTGGAGGCCCTGGAAGGAGGAGGAGCAGTTGGGTAGAGAGGAAGGCGGGCCTTGGGCCCCACATAGCAGAAGTGAGCAAGGAGTTCATGGCAAGGTAAGGGATGCTACATGTGGAACAGAGGAGGTACTAGGGTGGGAAATGAGGAGGCTTCTAGACTGACCTGACATGTGCACAGTCAGCAAGGCTCCTCTTTTCTACAGAGGATGGTTGTTCTGCTGTTTCTTGCTGTCCCTACAAATTAGCTACACAATTTCTCATAATTGTGCATTTCTCAGTGGAGATATCAAAGCCTAATTTCGTTCTCCAAAGGTTTGCTCTGGTTGGTTTTCAGTGGACTGGACTTTGCTCTGAGTGGAGATCTGTGTGTGTGTGTGTGTGTGTGTCTGTGTCTGTGTCTGTGTCTGTGTGTGTGTGTGTGTTTTATTTTTGATCACACAGCCTTTTCATTTGCCCAGATCAACTTATATGATTTGCAGTCACATTCACTCTATAATTAATTAGTTGAAAGATTTTCCTGTGAAATTTTTAAAATACTGATGCTGGCTTCCAATTGCTTAAAGAATCTACTGTAAAACTGTCCCAGTTTACAGTCAATAAACAATGTAATTGACACTTTTACAAATGTTTCTCCATGAAGGCCAAACACTTCACACCTCCTGTTCTGTTTAGCCCTGTAGAGTACTTTCACTTACTTCCGTTTCCTGTTCTGTTAGTAGCTGACCCTTCACCCATCTGCCTAATTGCTGGATAGTGGTGCTGGTGGGATAGAGGACCTCATTTACACGTTAATCCAAGGCCTTCCTGTACCAGGGCCATTCTGGGTGCTGTAGGCTGGCCACACTGCAGGAAAGAACTAGACCCTGCCCTCCTACAGCTTGTGTCCCTGCAATGGGAAGCGAACCTTAAACACATGAGCAGAGTCATGAGCAGATGTCAGCGAGTGACAGACGATGCTGTGAGGCAACACCAGGCGGGTGCAGAGGTACTGGCCCACAGCACGGTCAAGGAGACAGAGAAAGTGGCATTTTTAAGGAACTTTGCAGGGACTTGTTTTCCACATAAAGTGGATCGACTGTAGTCAGGAAACTGAGGCATTCCCCAGTTCACTTTCTGGACAGGTGGCTATGTGGCCCTCCCCACATCCTTGGGTTTGGGTGGCTGCCCCAGACTTGAGGCAGTTTAGCCTCCAGAAGTGGATAAAATGGATATGTTTATGAGTGATGTCTGCTGATGGTTCATCTTCTCTCCTGTTCTCTTATAGCTGGGTGGTGATGAGAAGGTTCTGGAGAGCTGCTTGAGCCTGGGTGGCCACCGGGCCCCTGTGGTCACTGTGGACTGGAGCACTGCCATGGACTGTGGGACCTGCCTCACTGCCTCCATGGATGGCAAGATCAAGCTGACCACCCTCCTGGCCCATAAGCTCTGAAGGACCTGCCTCAAGTGACACCACAGAAACAGTATTGTCCTAGTGTTGGGGGAGAACAGACACACCCCTTCCAGGTTCCTGCCAGTGCAGCAGATCTTCAGGCAAAGACTGTCCAGGGGGCTTGGGACTGTCCAGCTTCAGTGACTAGAACAGGAGCCTTAAGGAGCAGGTGGCATGTTCTTCCCACAGAACAAAGTCATGGGCTGAGAAGGATCCTCTGACTGCGGGAGGAAAGCTCAGGAAGGAGAAACAGTGATGGGGGCTGTGTTGGCCCAGGAGAGATTGACAGTATTTTATAAATATATCTCTGCTTATTTTTCTTCTTTTTTTAAAAAAAGAGAATGCTCTTGCAGTCACCTGGTGTCTCTTTCTAGGATGCGTGTGTCACTTTGCCCTGATGATAGCCGTGGGCTCCCTGCCTTTGTTTCCCCACACCAGGTCTTTCTTACTTGCCTCGCTGGCCATCAGTTCACCTGGGCTTTATGGGAGTGGGACATGGGCCCACAGCATGCTCTTCTGTTTTGTCTGGGCTCAAGTTGAGGCCAGAGTGTTCTGTCTTCCCTGAGAGGTGGTGGCTTTTGTTACAGAAGCCTGTCTGGACGAGGGCAGGTACACAGGCCTCTGCTGCTGGTGGCCCAGTGTTATCTGGAAGCTGCTGTTCCTAGCACTTCATTTGGTGGCTTCTCTCATTCTTCCAACTTGAAGCCCTTGAAGTTGAACAGTGCCAGCCACTTTTATTCTCTGCTGGCAAGTGGTGAGAGGGCCAGCTCCCTGACCATATGGCTAGAAGGACCCCTGGGTTTCAGGTCTGACCACTTAAGTCTGAGCTGAGCCTGGACTAGTGGTGACCATGCCCCCGCCTGAGGCCTGCCTGCTACTCCCCAACTGGGCACCTTGAAGAGGAAGATTCTCCCACAGTGGCAGCTGAGGCTGGGCAAGTGCAGGAGCCAACGTTAGACTGGTGGATCTGGTCCTGGGGGGCTCCCATGCTTTTCAGGGTGACCTTGTCACCTATGTACGGGGAATTGCTGCCACCAGCAACTCAATATAGTCATTTTATAGCTTCTTTGGGCTCCCGCCCAGTTCTGGAGCAGGGCTGGAATGGCTGTCTTCTGCTGGGACTGAGGGACAGTAGAGAGAGATATGGATGTGGCTTGGTTACAAGAAAACACCAGAGACTTCATGGTAAGTAGTTACCCAGTTTCTCCTATTTCCATCTCTAAAATGAAGAAAGTGAAGACTTCTCCACTGCCATGTCTTCACGTTGGCACTGAAACATCTGAGTAATCTATCTTACCCCAGGATTCTGGGGGACAGTCTAAATGGTCTTGAGTTTCATCTGAGAGTTCATGGTCCAGTTTTTCTTCTCATCTCAAAGTTCCTGCCTTATGACCCTTTCTCTCCTTTCAATGTGGTCCCCACAGCTTGCTGAAATGGTTTAAGGAAAACAGCAACACAACACTTCAAACCCCTGGTGCTCCTGTCCCAGCCCACCTCCAGGAAGAGTGCTCATCCTCAAAGCTTGTTGGAAACTCACACTAATCTCTCCTTCAAAACACCTGCGTATTTCCACCCAAGGACCCAAGGTTCCCTACTGTTATCTTCCATGAGGGTAGAATAAAAGAAAACCATGGAGGCAGGCCAGGCCTCAAGTCATGAACCCCTCACCTGCGCTGAGGGCCCTTCAGGTGTATTTCCCCATCTGGTTTCCTTCTGCCCTCTCCTCAGGTATCTGCCTGTGCCTCTACCCCAAGCCTCAGGCCAAAACCCAGCCCCCATGTGATATTCAAATGCCCAGGAAGCTCAGTGTGATGTTTGAGAGTACAGTGTGTATACAATGTGGACTGACTAAATCCAGTTAATTAACATTACATGTTAGCTCACACACAAAAATACAATTTCATCTGTCAATTTAAAAATAAAAATACAAAAACAACAAACCCCATGTGCTTCAGGTGTTGCCAGTGCTTATAGATTTCACAGCTGGGTTCGTTGCCCATCCAGGGCCTCTCCCTACACCAAGACTATGCAGACACACAGGCCTATTTTCCAGCTGGCTGTGGAGAGGTTTTAAGGAGCGAAATGTACAGGAGTAGTTCTACTGTGCAAGTATTTTCTGTTCCTTTATTCACAAAAGGAAATGATGTGATTCTACTCCAGCCCTGTAGAATTGTGCTGACTCAAGGCCTATGAAAGCCAGGACCTTTGAGGTCAGTGACTGATGCCTTAGTGGTGGCCAGAGAAACCAATATCCCAGTGGCCAGTCCTGCAGAGCCTGGAGGCTGGCCTGGTTCAACCATAGCTAAGTCGATCCCTACAGTGGCTGACTGGTAGGGGATTTGAGACCACTGGTTTATTTTTTAGGCCTAGATTTATTTAAAATTTCTACCCAGCCCACTTCCCTAGCATTGATTAGCATTCCAGAAGAGCCTGGGAGGTTCTCTGGAGAAACTGAAGGCACCCTAGGGGAAAAGAGCACTTCCTGGTCCAGAAAAAGGGGGCTCAAAACTTTGTTCCCTTTCTAAATAGTAACTGTGCTGTTATTAGCGGACCAGTTGGAAATCACAGTTCAACAACTGTCTTTTCTCATTTGGGGGCAGACCGTATTTTACCCCCAAATGCAGAGGAAGACCTCCCCTGTGACTGCTTGCCTTGGTCTTTTCAGTCCGTCTCTGACCTCAGTCCTCTTTTAGGCTATCTGAAGTCACAAGTGTGATTTGAACCAAGGCTACCTTCATTTGTTAATTATAGCGTTCAGCATAGCTGAAAGCAACTAGCACACTTGGGCAGGTAAGTGGAGCTGCCCGTGTCTCTGCATAGGGAAGCCCTGGGCTGCCAATCTGAATATTAAATATTAGTAACTCCTACGTTATTTGATTTCTCGACGTGAATAGAGCTTTTGATTTCTCTCCCTGCACCATCTTGCGCCTTCTCCGGGATGCGTCGCCAGTGGGGAGCACTAAACTTGGTTCCCGTGAGATCCCGGGCGGGGCTGTTGAATACAGAACCCTCTTCCCTCCGTCTAATTTCGGACCCTGGGGCCTGGGAATCCACACTTTGACTTTCCAAAAGCCGGACAGAGCCTCTCCTGCTGCAGCAGGCAAGAAGACTGGCGCTGCGCTGGCTGCAGGGGGCGCCGCCGGCCTCCGCGCGCGCGCCAGAAGAGCGGGTAGCCGGAAGGGGCGGGCAGAGCTGGGCTGGCACAACCGTCCGGAATCCGCCTCCGGGACTCGCTCCCGACCCCTAGAAGGAGGCCCAAGACCTGGCAGCACAGCAAGGGCAGGGGATGCGGCGCGCTCCTCCAGTGCAGGCGCCGTCTACGGAACGGAAGGGGCCGCGCGCCAGCTCTCGTGACTGGGCAGCCGCGGTCCGCGAGGTGCAAGGAGTTCCTGCGTGTTCTTTCCTGTGGGTCGGCACTGTACAGTAGGGGCAAAGTCAGGGGAAGGTCCCCAAGAGCGAGCTGCAGGTTACGGATGAGAAATGCTGTCAGATCCTGTTCCTGCGGGGTCTCGTTTTCACCCAAGGAGTGATGGGCTTTGGCTGAGATTTTCTGAAGTCTACCAGGTCTAACACCAGTGAGCACTGAGCTGCACCAAACGTGCTTTCAGGGGACGTTGCCAACCTGAAGCAGGGCGGGCACAGGATTGGCAGTCTACAGGTCCAGGCTGAGATCCTGGATGGCTGAACTTTTTGAGACCTGTGCAAGATAACTAGGTTTCAGTACCTTGTTTGTAAAGTGGAATGAATGATATGCATCTCCCGATCTAATAAATTTCTACTAAGCAGCACTGGGTGCTCAGTAGACGGTAGGAATGACTACCAACGTCCAATAATTTAAACAGAAATTAAAGTACATTGGCCAAGGTCTGTCCCCTGGGCTGTAGATTAAGATGCTGGCCTGCTGGTTTTTTCTTAAGTTGTAAACGGCCATTTTGGATGAGCAATAAATTTTCAAGTTATGATTCAGAGAGGGGTTTTATTCTTCGCTGACTACCCCTTTCTAGGCAAACTTCGGCCCCCTAAGATGTTCTTAGGAACACTTAGGTTGATTCCTAAGTGGAAAGTTATGTCCTGGTCTGTGAGTCACAGATTTTTCTAGGTGGGGACTGATGATGTTTAAGGATGGAGGGGCCCAGGTGGAATCAACTCGGGGTAGGGAAAGGGAAGCCAAGTTATATCAGAGGCTTGGTGGGGGCCAGGGAGATTTGATTTCTGCAAATCCGGGGAGCCAAGCAGTTAAAACTTCCTGACCCCTCTAGCAGGTTAAAATTTGGCCAATCAGAAGAAGCTTCAGATTAAGGCAGGGAGGGTGACCAATGAAACCTTTCTGTGAATCAGAATTGCCTGGGGGTTGTTAAGGCCCTCTCACTGTAAAGGAAGTGAGAAGCTGGGACCTGGGGCAAATTTGAGAGAGATCATTGGAGATGTTTTGGGAGTTGGATTGGCTGGATGCTCTGAGGACAGTAGCACCTGCAGTGTGGAGGAGGAGAAATCACCTGGCTTTGCCTCCTCTCCTTCCTTCCTCTGGGAGTGCTGGTTCCATTAATGCAGAGGCTACAAGGGAGGTGATTGGGGTGGGGGGTGTCTGCTTGTGGGGCACTGGGGCAAGTCACTGGGCTTGTCTCCCCAACCCATCATCTTGATTGCCACACCTGCTGGACATGCTGAGAATGCCCCATCTCCTGGGCTCTGGTGACCCTCTGGCTCACCTCTGGCCTGCCCCAGGCTGACTGGAAGTGTTTTAGCTTAGAACTTACCAGACTTTGTTCTTCTTTGTAGGCATTAAAGATTGGTGCCCTTTTGGAAAAATGAGGCCTCTAATTCCTGATGTGACAGGAGTAAGATTTGCTGTCCTGTCCTGAGTCAAGCAAGTCACTCAGATCCTGACTCCTTATTGGGGGAAATTACAGTGATGGAAACCTTAAAATCTAAGAACAAAACCAGGGTCCTTCCCTGCTGGATGACAGCCCAGGTGTCTGAAAGTAGGGTGGTGCCAGTGAAGACTCCCAAGCAGAGGAGAGTGGTGACAGGGCCAGCAGTAACAGCAGGGTAAGCCAACCTCTGGTCAGGATGCTCCTGGGGGAAGCTCAGGAGGGAGGAGGGCCTCTCAGTGGCCTTGGGCCTGCCATAATTGGCTGAGAGTGAGATGGGTGGGTTTTTCTTCCCACACTTTGGAACTCTTAGAAAGGAAGGTGAGCTTGCAGTCAGGTGCCCACCTCTGGCCCTGTGCCGTTGAGGTTTCCACTGCTGGAGCCTGGACCGTCAGCACACACACACAGGTGGCTTTTGAATACTAGCAAGCTCTCCAAAATGCCAGTTGTCAGAATACTATTCTCTACATTTACACCAAAAATTATAACATCACATGGACAAGTCCAGTGGACCAGTCACCGGGCTTCCTGAACGGTGCCTGTTCTTCCTGTGAAGAGAGCTCTGGGGACAGGCAGATGTATAGCAAGAAGTCAGGAACCATGCGTGGGTTAGTTGAATGACGGTAATGTGGGGAAGGGGGGTCTTCAGGGTGCCAGCATCAAGCAGGATGGGGCATCCCTGCCACTCTTAGGCCCAGGCCCTCAGCACTCTGTTTCCTAGCTCTTCCGTTTCTGGCCAGCCTCCCTTTGAGATTGTAGCGGGGTGTTTGATTGAATGTGTTCATGCATTCGGGTCTGTTTCAGTCAAGTCTTGGCCCGAAGGCCCACATCTGCTCACATCCACTGTGTGTGTTTCAAGGTGTGACTCTCAGGAGCCAGCCTTCTCCCCAGTCCCAGCTCCTTATCAGGAGTTGGTGGAGGGTGGGAGGGCCTGAGGTCAGCACTGGGCTACTGGGAGGAGGAAGTCATATTCCTGCCTCAAGGAAGTTCCTCAGCTCGGAGGCACTGTTGTGCTCATCCCTGGTGGGGAGGCCTGGGATGCAGCCCTCTTGCTGTCCTTTCCTTGCCCCTGTGAGCCTGGAGACCCTCTTCCCCATTCGTGACTCGTGTCTGTGTTGCAGAACTCCTGCCATGAAGACTGTGTACTGCATGAATGAAGCAGAAATGGTGGATGTGGCTCTGGGGATCCTGATTGAGGTACAGTCAGCTGTGTCCCTTCTTACTCTTGTGACCGGAGACTCCATGGACAGAAACTAGCCACAGCCCTTGGTCACTGTCAGGATTCTGCTCCTGTCAGCTGGCTTCTTCCGTCTGTTCCTTCCCTTGTCCCTCAGCCAGGTTGCCCCAGCCTCCCCGATGTGGGGTGAGACACCTGGGCTGGGTGTGTGTGAGGAACAGCTTGCACTGTGACTCTGTGCTGGTATGTGGCAGGACACAAAATGTTGGCCTGTGTTCTCAGAAAGGGTTTCAGTTGGCCAAGATCCTTCTGGACGTGGGCACCTCTCCTTAGCAGAACATGGGGAAGTCACTGTCTTCCTGAAGTAATCATTGGACCACCTTACAGTTGGACATCACTTTGTGTTTATCATGTGCCTTTTTACACAGTGTCCTATCTACTAATTCAGATACTGTTACCCTGAAGAAGCTGGGACTCGGGGGTTTCACTGGTTCTGTGACATAGCCTGGGCCCCTTCCATGCTCTCACCCTTCATTCCCGCCACATTTTCCTATTGGTTTCTTCTTTCTGCTCAGCTGTTCCCCACACCCCTGCTGGCTTGTCTCCCAAGTGGGTTCTGGTTACTTAAGAACCTGAGGAGTTTGGGGAGGAGTGGGGTGGGAGCGGGGCCTGGCCTGGTCGCACACTGGCTTTGCAGTTGCTTCTGGATATGTCCTGCCTCACTGATGGACGTTGAGCCTGCCATTTCTTCTGCTCCACAGTGCCGTAAACAGGAAAAGCCCCAGGAGCAGTCACCTCTGGTGGATGCTGATAAGCTGGAGCTCTCCCCCATCTGCTCTGTGTCTCCTCACACAAGTTCTCCTGGGAGCAGCAGCGAGGAAGAGGACGGTGGGAAAGACAAGGCTGCCTGGGGCCTCCGCCCTTCCCAGGGGCAGGGGACTTCCAGCTCTACAAGCAGAAGCCCCAAGGAAGCGGAGGAGGAAGATGTGTTGAAATATGTCAGGGAGATATTTTTCAGCTGAGGATAAACAGCTCGCTGGACTCTCTGCGGAGAGCAGCAGGAAGAGGCTGCTGCTGGTGCTCTTGCCCCTCACCCCCACCCCTAGGGTGCAGATGTGGCTGCCTGTGTGCCCAGCTTTGCACCTCCCTGGGCCTGGCAGATTCATCCTAGATCAGAAGCTCCAGGTGCCCTGGGCCTCCTGGGGGCTACTATTTTCAGTGTGACAGTGAGGACCCAAACCAAATTCCCATTAGTTTCTCCTCGCACTGCATCCCGCCTGGCACAGGGGGATAGAATCCCAATTGTCTGTCTTATTCTAGAGAAAATGAGGTCATGGGGTCCAACTTTTAAGAACCCAAGAGACAATAATTTTCAAGGAAAAGTATGGCTACTGAATAACTGTGATTCCCAGGCTTTTGTAGCATGATCCCTCCCCATCAGAGGCCCTCGCCCTCCAGCTTTGAAGACACGAGCTGCCCATAGTTCCTGCTCCACCTGGGAGGGTGAGACTTTCCAACCAGAGACTGGTAAGCCAGACAGGCCGCCTTGAGCTGCTGCCTCTCTTCCACCTGGAAGCCTCTACCTTGATTCCTGGGCAGGTTTAAAGTGCGAGTGGGTTGGGAGACCATACACTATAATAATAGATGACACCAGAGTCCATGTTTCTGCCTCTGTATTCAGTGTGGCTTTGGAAAGGCACAGAAGGAGTAAACTGTTGCCATACAGGTTTCCCAACATACAGGTGACAAAAAATACAGAGTTCTCCAGTGCACAAGTTGTTGTGCTTCTGTCCTTTCCAGTTATGGGTGGAGAAGTGAGGGGATGTAGCACCTGTGTGTGGATCCATTTGGTCCAGTCCACCTTCTCCTGCCCAAGGATCAGGAGCATCCTGCCCCTCCCTCCAGGGTCACAATGATAGGAATGCTTGCCAGCTGATTCCTGCTTCGTCCTTTGTGGAGGGACCTTCCAAACCTAGTTTTCTTTGTGCCATGTGTGTTCTGTCTGTTGGATCCCTCAGCCGTTCCTGGGCCATGGGAGTGGAGTCCTGGTGAGGGGCTTATTGCAGCAAGCCACTCCTCATTGAGCGAAGGCTTGCTACTAGGTGCCCTTTCATAGTGGTCCTGTTTGTTCCCATAAACCTTCACTGATTCCCGTTTGGCTCTCTTATAAATCAGCCTGCAAATCTGACCCCATAACAGGAATCTTTACCTCCTAAAGCTAGAGGAAGAATTGCCCAGATGGGTTAAATAAAGCAGGAAATCATGTGGCAGTGAGCCGTGTGCTTTTAGGGTGTCCGCAGAAGTCCTGAAGTACAGGCAGTCCTACACTAAGAAGCCGCAGCTGGCCTGGCCGTCCTTACTACCTTGGTCTCCTTGACACTGGGGACCCACCTGCTTTGCAGAGTTCTGTCTGCTGGGGTTTGAGAACGGCATTAGCTATGAAACAAAATGGCTGAGAAGATGTGCCAACCCCTGGGTTCTCTGGCACCTTCTCTGTAGTTAGAACTAACCCTCACAATCACTTAAGCCTTTAGATAGGTCTAACAGCTGGCACTTATCCTTCTTGGCCCTTGGAGGGAACACAACCGTGGCCATAAGTAACAGGATGAGTAAAACCTGGGCCAGGCCCAGTGCCAGGAAGCCAGGCCCCAGGACAGAAAGGCTGACCCACTTCCACACATAGGAGAGGAAGAGGCCCAAGCCTCCGGCTAGCAGCACAGAGGACATTGCCAAGAAGCCCACTGCCAGCTGCCACTCTCCCTTGTCACCATTGCACCAGGCGAGGAGGAGAGGCAGGGGGACAAAGAGTGTGAGGACCAGGGCACCGTATACGCCAAGCCTGGCCAGCGCCAGGCCAATCTGAGACACACCCCAGGCCTCTAGCTCAGGGAAGTGGTGACACTGGAGAGAGCCAGTGTCCTCGTTCCACAGGCAGAAGTTGTAGAAGCCAATTCTCAGGTCGGGCAGGTCAGCGAGGTTGCCAGCCTTCCAGAGGAGAGCGTAGAACAGCAGGGAGATGACCACAGCTGTCAGGATCATGATGCCCACGAAGGATAGATGGTTGCCCCACAGTGGCCTGGGGATGGCCATCTCTCCTGCCCTTTTCAGGGGACCTGAGGGAAAGTCACACCAGTGAATGTCCAGCTCTCCCTCTCTGCTCATGCCCTGCATCTTCTCAAGCTCCTGACCTCCCCCTGGCAAACTTATTCTAACCCACCCTACCAGGACAGGAAGTCCCAGGTAACCTACAGCCAGGACCCACTCACAAGACATCAGCTGCCCCTTGGATTTGAGGTCAGGAGGAAGAGTCTCTCCTAGGCAGCTGTGAAGGCCTGAAGAGTCCCCACTGAAGTGCTTTTGGGTTAAAGGATTTGCTCAGCCTAAATGCCAGAAGCCACAGGAAGCATTCTTGGGGGAATTTCTCACATCCTTATAGAGGGTGCGTATTGACAAGGTGGAGGACAAGGCTCACTGTCAGCAGGGTCCTGAAGGTGAAGGAAGGTATGGAAGACCCGTGGAGCCATGGATCTCACCACAGCTACAGAAACACCCACCTGGAGAGCTATAAAAGCCACACCTCAATTGAATCTAGACTTCTGGGTTTGAGGTGGGCACTGGTGTGTCTTCAAAGCTCTGCAGATTCCTAGGATATGAGCCTGGGCTGAGGATCACTGTCAGACTCTCTCTGTAATGTCATCTGCCCTGCTTTGGGAACTCATTATTGGGACATACATGATGTCACCTGGTGATGAAATCCCATTCCAGCACTCATTACTTTTAAAACATCTATAGTTTTTTTTTTTTTTAATTTCCTGAAAACAACAGTAATATATACTAGTTCTAGGAAATTTAGAAAATATTTTTTAAAAAGCCCTTTTATCCCACCATATACATAGAACCACTGTTAATATTTCACTAACATTTCCCATATGCTGATGTATTTTACAATAACCATTGTGTTGCACATGACACTCTTTTCACTGAATAGTCCATGTCGTAGATTTATCCTTTACACTAGCAATTGACAAGTTGTTTCCATTTTTCACCTTTGTGATAGTGAAGAAGCTTATAGGAATCTTGCTTGGAATCTGACTTTTCCCTGGATTAGATATCTAGAAGAGCCGTCACAGGGTCAAGATAGCTTATCATAGCGATCCTAGGACATCTTGCTAAACTGACCTATAGAAAACTTGCTAATTGTGGTCCTTCTAGATGTATGTAAATGCCCATTTCATTACACTCCTCATTATTTTTAAAAATTTACTACTTTTTTTACTCAGAAGAGTGTTTTCAAAATGGCCTGTAAAACAGTAGTCTGCACACTGGGGCTTCATCTGTGTGCATTTTCCATGTGAATAAACCAGCCATTTACATCAGGGGTTATGAGGGACGCCTAGCTGCAAACTTTGTGAGATGCACGCACTGGAGCCAGAGTACCAAGTGGTGCCCTGTGAGCCTTGGCCAGCAGTGCCAGGTGGGATCCAGCTGTGAAGTGTGTGGCAGCCATTGGTGACCTGGGGAGGAACCCAGAGACCCTGGGGCTCAGCTCCTCAGGGGACCCCCTGGGGAGCAGCCCTTCTTTCCCACAGCTGTCTGATTCTATATGCCGCATTTGTTCTGCAAAAACAGAAAGGGACCAAGTGGAACAAAGAGCATGGGTCAGGCTTGGAGAGAAGGCAGCTCCATTCAAAGGACCCAAATGAAGGCCAGAAATGAGAACAGGGATTCATCAGAGATCCTTTGACAGAGACCTGGTGCTGAGCAAGCCCTTGTTAGGACACTGAGCTCCTGAATCTGTGCTGCCTCCACCAGGCCCTGGCAATACTGAGTAGCCTGCTCTGCTCCTGCTTGTGCTTTTCTTCCCTCCAGACAGAGATGGCAGTGACACTCGGAAACAAAGTGTGAGCGACCATCTCAGCTCAAGCCTCAGCAGCTGCCCCTCTGCAGCACCTTATTGTTTAAAGTCTCTGGAAACTCAAGGGGCAGAAGGCCCCCTTTGAATGTCGTTGGAGATTCTTGGAGCATTGCTGCTTGTTCATCAATACTCTAAAAGGTGACTGAATCCAACTGTTCTCTGATGGTATGATGAAAAGTTTAACCAGTCTAGCCCATGGTTTGAGAAAATTCCCAATGTATTTTGCATGGTTTTGAATATTTGACAACTTTAGTAAAAGCCTATGTTTCTAATGGGATTTGGTATTTTGGGAAGTGGGATGGATTTCGAGGGTGGGGACCTTGATTTACACTACCATGCTACAGAAAATTGCCTGCACTGCCCTGGAACGAAGCAGGATGGGAGAGAGGATACTGTGTTTGAATGCTCCCTCCCATTTCTCCTGTTTGAATCCTGATTCAACTGGCTTCCAAAAATCATTACTATTAAACATTTTGGACTTGAAGACAGAGCCTGGAGCCTTTGTTTTTAACTTCCTCATTTTTTTTTTTCAACTGACACTTAGAGGTTTTTGATGGAGAGTGGAACAAAACAAAACTGGAGCCCAGAAGTGCAGGCCCAGGCCTGTGGAGGACATGGTTTCCTTCTCCTCCTCAACTCTTCATATATACAGTCAGGCCCACCTCCCGTGTCCAGTGCTTGAGGCTCTCCACCATCTGGCTCCACTTAGGACTTGAACTTTCAGTGTTCCACTGAGGCCCAGCTCCTTTTTCCTCCACTCTAGCTTTGCATGGTCCAGCATCTGCTCAGGCTGTGTCCATTCTTAGCCCATGCTCAGCCACTCTCCAACCCCCAGCATCCCACCTGACTTTCTGACTTTCTACCTGATTAAAACCTTCAGTGATTCCTGAGCTTTCCTGGACTGATGTCAGCATACAGAGAATTTCTTTTTTTTTTAATTAATGAATGAAAATGTGCTTGGTGTCTTTGGGTTATTTCACTTACGTGTGTTATGTCCACATCGTAACCACACAGTGGAGCTTCTTGAGTGAGGGGCCATCTTCATGTTCCGCACATTCCCAGCACAGTGCCAAGATGTCCGATTGTGCTTCCTGTTGGAAACACGTACAGACTTTAGGAAGCTGGGACAGAGAGGTTGGAGTCTAGTCCTGGCTTTTCCTAAACGTTTCACATGACAGCGTCTGGATATGTGGTTGGAAACCCGTGACACTGTTCTGCCAGCCCCAAAGTCTGCCCTGTTCTTTTCGTTTTATAACAATCCTGGTAATCATGTTCTCACGACAATGAGCTTTTTAATGACCAGCCAGTGCTTCCTTCAAAGGGCAAAAGGGTAGACTGCTGAGTCACTGTGGCCATTTTTAGATGAGCTTTTTCCTGTTTATAAGAAAGTAGTGCGTGCCAATTGCAGAAAACTATAAAATAAATGAAAGTGTAGAGAAAAGACGAAAAATCAATTTCTATGACTCCAGGTCATAGAAATACTCACTCTTAGCGCTCTGTAATGTTGTTTTATACGCTAGGATCACATAAACATATGTTCACGTTCCACTTTGTGAACATCATTGTAGAATAAACCTTTCCCTATATCACTAGAAACGTTTCCTATGTGATACCTTTAAGGGCTTCATATAGCCATTTCAGAGCTTAAAGTGTTTCTAAATTGTATTTTGTAACATTATTTTATATATTATAAATAAAGTTATAGTGAGTATGTATGTGAATCAGTTTATCCTTCTATCAGTGGTGTAAGAGAATGGTTTTTTCTCCCAGTTCCGTCCTGTCCCGTCCAGGTCCACATACCCGACCCCTAGACAGGGTGTCACTGTGTTGCCCCAGGCTGGCTTTGAACTCTTGGGCTCAAATCATCCTCCTGCCTCAGCCTCCTGAGAACTGCAACTACTGTGCCCAAGAATGCTTGCTCCCTAGAATTGCATATCTTTAGTCTTAGATAGCGACAGATGATGATTCATTGTTATTATTTTCTTTCAGAATTAGTAAAGTTCAATATTTTCAAGAAATGATCATCTATATTTCTTCTTTTGTGAAGTGCTATTAGTTCTTTTGCTTTAAAAAATCATTTTGAGTATGTGTGGCCCTGGATTTGATCCAGAGCACCACTAAAAAAAAAAAAGAAAAAAAATTATTTCCAGTTTTAGTTTTCATTTGTCAGTCTGAGCCCTTTCTATGTAAAGGCTATTAACATTTTGCCACCATAATTGTCATAGTAAAGTACAATTCTTTTGCTGCACCAGGGCCTCTGTATGTACTTCTCTGTCCTGATTCTTTGCCTCTGGGTTATTTTTTATTTTTTTCTTTCTCAGTTTCTAAATGCAAGTTTTCTTTTTTGTGCCTGGGATTGAGCCCAGTTGAGCTTAACCACCGAGCCACATCCCCAACCCTTTTAGATATATATAATTTAGAGACACAGTCTCTCTAAGTTGTGTTAGGGCCTCACCAAATTGCTCAAGCTGGCTTTGAACTCATGATCCTCCTGCCTCAGCCTCCCAAGCCACTGGGATTACAGGCATATGCCACTGTGCCTTGCTAAATGTAAATTTTCTACAAGGTCCTCTCTCCCTCAGGTACTTCATCCAATCCTGCGGCTTCAGGAGTTGGGTACTCTGGGACCATTTGACACTAGATATGGTGATGGCTGAGGTGTGAGCAGCAGCCTCTTCCCCTGCCCTGGCACCACCCAGGGAGTTGCTACCAAGGCCTCGGAGTCCAACCTGGAATTTGTATTTTGTTGCTTGAAAGCAAGGAGGCTCAAAAGAAAAAACAACAGGGGAGTCCTTAGGGTCTTGTCAGTTTTAAATTCCCCATTTGGCTTTTCATTTTGTGAACAATTTCAGAAGCCACAGGGAAGCAGAGGAGAGAGCTGGCTTTGAGAGTCTCTTCAGCCAGTGGGAAGGAACTGAGAAGGAATCCAATTTTGTTTTTTCTTGTTAAAACAGACCTCAACATTTCTTGAGCATTTATTATGTGCCGGGCTCTGCACCAAGCACTTAGCAGGTATTCTTAATTTCTTGCAACAAGGTTGGAAGGTAGATTGCCTGTTTTCATCTCCATTTTCTTGAGGAGTAAGTAGGCCTAGTGAGGGTCAGTAACCAGCCCATGCTCATACCGTTGATGAATATTGGAGCCTATCAGGCTGCCTAGTTGTCTTCACTATAAGAATAAGAGCCTGCTTCTTCCTGAGCATCTGCCTATTTAAGGCCTGGCCCTTCACCAGCATTATCTATTTAATCTTCAGAGCAACCAAATGTAGCTGCTATTCTTCTTGTTCTCACTTGATATAGGGGAGACAGTGTGGAATAATGGTTCACAACACATGCTTTGAAGTTTTGTTTTTTGGGTTCAAATCCCAGCTCTTCCATTTACCAGCTGTTGTGATCTCAGTTACATGCCATCTCTGTGCCTAGTTTTCTGATCTGTAAAATTGGTATAATTACAGAATTTATTTTATAGACATTATGGAAATTAAATGAGGTGATTCATGCACAACACTTGGAACATGACCTAGTAAGTGTTGCTCAAATTATTCTTATTAAGAGAGGAAACTGAAGCTCAGAGAGGTTGAGCCCAGGACCACACAGCCTGGGTGAGATCCTAGGGGGACAGAGCACTGGAGTTACTTTACAGAGCTCAACTCCAGGAAGCTGTCCTCTTGGATATGTGTAGGTGATGACTCCAGAATGAGGCCTGGGTAGCAACAGGCAGTGGTGACCACCACCACCTGGGTTGTCTTTGTCCTGTTCCTCACTAGTCATGTGGCCTTGGGCAAGTTCCATCACATGCTGCTCTGTCATGCATTGGCCGTCACATTCCCCATGGGGCTGTTGTGAGGCTGAAATGAGTTCACAGCAGCATAAATGGATCAGTGCCCAGCACGTGCTAAGTACCACGTGTCTGCTGTGATGGCGATGAAGAAATGATTCCAGGGGGCAAAAGGGAATGGAAGCGGGAGTAACGTAGAGATGGCAGGTCAGTGCATGGCATGAATGGAGTGAGAAGTCCAGGAAAGAAAATCCAAGCAGAAGAAAGCCAGAACCACCAAACCTGACAGGGTGCAGGGCAAGGGTGTGTGTTCGTCACAGGAGGCCACCAGCCCTGGCTAAAAACTTGCTGGCTGAACACATTTAAGATTAGCATGTTCCTGGTTTGGGTGGGGTTCTCATAAAAATAAAAAGGGAAGAAGAAAGGGAAACGTGTCATATTTCCTTTGGCAGAAATAAGCGTCTAAGCTCTAGTTTTTCACAACTGGGTGTCTCTTGGATGTGTTTGGCCAGTGGCAGCTCCTGGGGTTCACAGTGTTCTCTGTGGATGGTCGTCTGCACCACTGAGCTTGTCATGGAACACTGCAATGTTCAGATTTGCTTAATTCTTATATGTAAATAAAAACAGCTTTCCCAGAAGAAATGGGGATACACCATGAAATGGCAATTTAAACTCAGAGGCATGAGGCCAGGCATGACACGATAAGCCATTGGAATAACTGTTTAAATGAGTCCATTAATATTAACTTGCTATTTGTTTGATTGTTTTGTTGCTGATTAGCTTTTACTAGCAGATGACCCAGCTGGGAATAAAGGTTACAAAATATTTAGAGGTAGGGAAAAAAAATCCTTAAAAATGAACAAATGACTATAAATTGGGAAACCCATCCTCCTTTGTTTTTTTGGGGGCAGATCTCCCCCCATCCAGTTTATGGGAGGCTGAGATTCACAGGGCCCAAAATAGCACTAGAGGCTAGCGTGGGTTCTCTGGCCCCAGCACTCTCTCCTGCAATTCTGAAGAAATCTCCCCACCCTCTGGCCATGGTTTTGTCTTAGGACACTACTCATGATGCATTTTGGGTGATTCTGGAGTGAGGACCCTGGAGAATCAGAGGTGCTAGGGAACAACTAGATATCTCCCTATTAGCTTGCACTCTACTTGGGAAGACAGACACCAAACATAATTAAGAAAGATAATTACATGTTTGAAAAGCTTTGGAAAAGAAACAGGGGGAAGTCAGGGGGAGAAAGTGGCAGGAAAAAGTGCTGATTCTAGATCTGAGAGTCAGGGAAGACCGCTCTGTAGAGGAGACATTTGGTTTGAGCCTATAAAGGGTTTCTTATTAAGTAACTGGAGCAGTTGACAAGCTAGCTGGAAAAGAGAGAAAAAAAGAAAACCCAAAGTATTTTAGGTCCTCTTTGCATTCCACAAACCAAATAAATTGCACATAGATTCAAAAACAAACAGAAAAAAGTATAAAAATCTGATTTATGAATGAGAAAGGACATTCTGAACTTAAAAGCAAATCAAAGCTATAAAAATTGTACAGATTTAGCTACTTAAAAAAATATAGATTTCTATATACAAAAGCATACAACACTAAAACACACACACACACACACATACACACACAAAGTCAATGAGCTTGGAAAATATGTAGAACAAATATTAAATGATGAATATGCCTAATGCCTAAAATGTTCATGTGAATAGTTAAGGAAAATATTAAACTCCATAAAAATGGACAAGGGAATATTAAGAGATAATTCACAAAAGAAAGGATGAAAAGTAATTAACATGAAAAAACAATCTCTATCCTAATGTCATCAAAGGTTATGCCAAGTAACATAACCTATGTGTTTCCCTATCAAAACTGTAGATAAAAACACTTGCTGAGGGGCTGGGGTTGTGGCTCAGTGATAGAACACTGGCCTTGCACACACGAGTTCCTGGGTTCGATCCTCAGCACCACATAAAAATAAATAAGGGTATTATGTCCAACTACCACTAAAAAAATAAACATTAAAATAAAAGAGAAATACTTGCTGATACCAAGAGTGGTAAAACTGGCTTTCTCACACATGATGGCAGGTGTAAAAATTTGGAAAATTTCTCTGGGAGGTAATTGGCCAACATGCATTTAAAAACCTCCAAACAGTCAAATCTCTTTGTCACTCCATTTTTATGAATTTATTCTAAGGCAGGAAACAGAAATGCAATCAATGATAGGAATGTTTATTACAGTGTCACTTTGGCAAAAAGTGGGAAGCAACTTGAATTGCCAGTATTAGAAATAAATTAGGAAATATCAGAATGATGAAACACTACACAACTTTTAAGAAAAGCCTATATAAAATCCCACTAGTATGAATGCCTCTATATAAAGATGTACAAGAGAAACAGACTAAGGAATTATTTAACTAATTAATTATTAGTTAATTAATATTAGCTGTTTTTCTGGGTAGTTGAATTATTGGAAATTGTTCCTTTCTTTTTGCATTAAAATAAAATACCAGAATTATGAGCTATTTTTCAGAAAAAATAAAATTTATAAAATAATCATAACTTCCAGTAATTAGATAAGGTGAGAGCCAAGATGGAAAGAAAGTTCATAAAAGAAAACATGTTTAAAATTGAAAGAAGAAAATCACACACACTAAATCTCAGAAACAAGATTTTGAAAGGGGTATATAATAGGAAGATGATACTGAAAATGCACTTTAATGTCATGAGGTAAGAAGGAAATATGCACTTTTCTCCCTTACTCAATGAATGCTTTGAATTTACAGGTGAAGCAGTATAATAAGAGTTGTGAACAAAATAGCCCACTTACAAAAATGAAAGGTCTCACCATCTGCCCCGAGAAAACTAAAATTCTACCATGAATTTCCACTGGGGCATGAGAAGCAATCTACTCTAATAACGTAGGGTCTAAAAATCTCTT